TGTCCACAAAGTCCCCGACGAAGTGGCGCGTCGGGACGTCGTCCGCCTTGACGGTGCTGTTGTGCCCTGAGCGGCGCCAATCTTCCCCCCGTCGGATCTTCGGGTCACCATGCTCGTCGAACTGGACAATGGGGAACGAGGCGGCGACGAAGACCTGTCCAGGCGGTGGCTCGACGAGCTCGGTCATCCCGGCGACGTCGTAGATGGGCACCGTCTTAACCTTCCAGTCGCCGGGGGCCCGGCACGGGCCCAGCACCCTGCCGAGCTTGGTCTCCTGGACGAGCTCGTCGAGGAGGACATCGGAGTATTCCCCGGGGTTGGTCCTTCCCAACCTGGAGCGGAGGTACTCGGCGTTCCGCGCCGCCAACGACGTCAAGGGCATCGGGTTGGCGTAGCGGTCGTCGGACCGCTTCCTCCACCCCGGGCCCGAGCGTATGGGCCCCAGCATGTCGAAGCCGTCGGAGAGGTCGGACCTGAGGGCGTCGACGTTCGGGTAGCCGGCGACGGGGACCTGGGTGGGGCGATCCCGATCAGGCGTCGAGTACGTCGCCCTGACCGGGAGCGGCCGGTCCCTGAGCCACGACGTCGTCGCCTCAGTAGAGTCCTCGACCATGGCGCCGATCTCCTGGATGACCTCCCGTCGGATGCGCACGAGGTCGTGTCGCCACCTCGTCCCCGTTCGCAGGACCCACTCTAAGGCCGGCTCCAGCGTCGGAGTGTCCGCCGCCGGGTGCCGCAAGCTGAGGGACCGCCGCCATGCAGTGATCCTCCTCGGACTCCAGCTCGTCGATCTCGACGTCCCTCGCCCGCGGCGGGGGGGTCATGTCCCAGGTGCTGCCCCACCGTTGCGACGCCAGCCACTGCAGCGTCGTGCACCGCAAAGTCCCAGCCGACGGCGCCGCCGACACTGAGCCAATGGAGGCGGCGACGACCAAAAGGGAGAGCATCCGAGACGCCACCCCCCAGTGCCAGCCATTGCCGACGAGTCTAAGGCGAGCGCGTTCGTCGGCACCCGCCGCCGCCGTGTATCCGACGGGCATGTGGTGCAGCTGCTCCCTCACCTCGGGGGTGGGGAGCCGTAGGTGGCCCCTCTCGTCGGTCATCATGGCCTCCCGGCGATAGTGCCACGGCGCAAAGCGGCGGGAGTCCTGGAGCCACCGCTCGCGGACGTCCTGGGGTATCCTGCCCCTCGCCGACTTGGGCGCCGGGCGCCCATTGTCGTCTTGTCGTCCAGCGCCGGCGTCGTGGCGCAGGGCATCAGGACACGGCCAGCCCGCACCGAGTCGTGGAACTGCCACCCGTCGAGTTGGAACGCGTCCTCGGAGGCCCGAGGACGCCCAGGCGCAGGCGCCGGAAACCGTCGCGGGTGTGCCAATGGAAGGCTTCCCCCGTCGTAGGGTGCTCCCTAAAGGCCTCCCACTCGACGGGCAGCCACCAAAGCCTCGGCCGCGAGATCCAACCGAAGTCCGACGCACAGACGATGACCGGCTCCATGTTGAGCTTCTTGGAGACGACGTCGGCGTCCTTCTTATTCATGACGACGTTCTCCCACAGCGAGACGACGACGTGATCGGGGAGCTCCGCCTTGAGCTCCTCGTAGAAGTCAGCGGCGACGAGGAAGAGGCCCCCACGTTCTCCGTCGTGTCCCTGTCCCGACGCGACCCTGGAGAAGTCCTGGCAGGGCGGGGCCGCCGCCCACAGGACGCAGGCTCTGGCATGGGGATCCACCCGACGGATCAACGCCGCCACCGCCGATGGCGAGTCCGACCTTGGAGATGTCCCCTCTCTCCTTGATCCACGGCATGTGTCGCCGAGTCAGCTGCGACGCGGCGGCGTCGACCTCCCACAAGAAAGCGCCAGGAGGGGCTCGCCGAACTCCTGGTTGATGAGCCAGGGCGCCGCCCCCACCCCGTCCGGGTCGGGTGCCGCGTCGGTCTCCACATCCGACGCGGTCCCGTGCTGTCCCTAGCGCCGACCGCCGCCCTTGCGGGCGCCCTTGTCGTGCTCGTCGGGCTTCCAAGCCTTGCCCGACCCAGCGGCGTTCCACGACGACGACGACCAATCCGACTGACTCCACCACTGGCCTTGGCCTCCAGAGCGGCGGTCGTCGCTGTGCTCGTCGTTGGGTCTTTTGGTCGGTTTCTTCGGCGGCTGGCCCCCCTGCGGGGGGTTTCCTCTGCCGCGACCGCGGCCGCGCCGGTTCCGCTGGCGCCGACGGATCGCCGTCGGGCGTGCGGCCGTCTCGTCGTCCATGTCGTTCGCCTCCTCCCCCGCTGCAGACGCGGGGGGCGGGCGACGAGGGGGCTGCTTCGGCGGCCTCGCCATGACGTCGTAGAAGAGGGAGTGGTTCGCCATGATCGCCTGCGTCGACTCGGCGAAGGTCTTGCCCAGGCGCAGGTCCATCGCCAGGGACCAGCCGATGGCGGACCAGAACTCGACGACGTGCTCAATCATCGTCGGCCTGGACCTGGCCTTGGCGGCGAACCAGTCGGCGAACTCGTCGATGGCCTCCTCCGGCCCCAGACCGACGAGCTTCCAAGCCATCTCACCGACTCGAGCCCGTCGAGCACGGCGATGAGTGTGCGAGGAGTCCACTCCTTCTCCTCCGTCGTCGCCGAAGCTCGGCGCACGGCGTGAGGGTTCACCTCGCCAGATGCCTGGTATGTCCGCCGCGCCAAGATCTCGACGAGCGACGCCGGGGTGTAGAGCTTGGACGTCGTGTGTTCGTGCCACATGCGCGCCAGGACCTCTTCGGCGCCCAGCAGCACATGGGTGGGGAATCGGCGACGTTGGCCGCCGAGCAGGCGGGCATTGAACGCCTCCACCTGCGCCGCCCACGCCGGGAACAGCTTGGGCGGCCTCTCGTCGACCCTAGGCGGGGGGGCCGGCGCTGGAGCTGCCACCGCGGCGGGCGCCACCGGCGTTGGCGGAGCCGAGTGTAGCTCCCACTGGCGACGGGCCTCCATCCAGCAGTGGGTCAGGATGGCCTGGACCACCGGGGCCACCTCGTCGGCGGCCTTGTGCCGCGTGCCGGCGACGTCGACGCCATTGAGGAACGGCTGGACGACGACCTTCACAAAGTCCTCGGCCGTCGTCGCCACCAGTGCGAGCGTCGGCGTGCGGTCGATGCCCCGCGCCTTCAGGTAGGCGACGGTGTCAGGTCCCGCCCCCGCCTGAGTCGTGAGGTCGTCGAAGCCGATGATCGCCGAGGCCACCGTGGGGATGGCCGCCGCTGCCGCGCCAGCCATGTTGGGCAACGGCTAAAAGCTACGACACACGACGAACCTCGGAGAGCTGGCGGTTGGCAACAAAAGGGGGGGTGGTAGGCCGGGAGACGGGGGGGGGGGGCAAAAGGGCGCACAGAACCGACGCAGTCGAGGCAAGCACGACGCAGTCGAAACCATCTTTTTGGGCGACGCGGTGCGTCAATCAAAAATGCCGACGCGACGGCGCTTTCAGCGCCCCCTCGGCGGGAAACAAATAGGACAGAGCACCTCCGGCGACGGGGGCCATTCCAGCCTCCCCCTTAGGGCGTTCGCCGTCGCCATGCGGCCGCACGCCAAACATTTGGGATCCGCCGCCAGGTAAGGCGACGGGGATTGCAGGTGCACCTGCGCCACGCGGCCCGACGGGGTGCGATCAGCGCGTCGGCGCAGGAGGCCACGTCAGCCAGCGACCTAGCGCCGCACTCGGCGAGGGCAGGAAGGCATCGCTGCAGGCCGGCGTTGGTCACTACTTTGACCAGCTCGGCAAAGGAGCCCTTCGGCGCCGACTGAGCGACGAACATCTTGAGCCAACCTAGGCGAACTAAGGTGAAACGTCGAGAACGCTCCCGCGAAGGAGGCTTACATGTGCATCGACGTGCGTCGAACTGGGGGGGGGGGGGGGGGGGGGGGGCACCCTCATTTTGCCGCGGCGCAGCAAGGCTCGAGGCTCCGAGTCCGACGCGACGACACGAGCCGACGTGCGTCCCGGAAAATGGCGTCGGAAGAAAAAGGGGGTGAGACAAGCTGCCGCTCCCGACGTCAACGACGAAGATGTAGAAGGCGTCGACGACGTCCAGAGGGGTGGCCAGTCCGCCATCCGGCGTTGTCAGGCGCGGCCCGCCGACGATGCGCCCTGCCCCGACGACGACGAAGGAGCTTGGAGGGCGGCCCGCTCCTCACGCTCCACGTCGCGTTGTGCCTGATCATACGCCGCCGCGGCCACCTGATCGACGGCGACGAGGCACTCCGGGCAGGAGTGGGGCTCGTGCGCGTTGTTGACGCCGAGCACGACGGGGCGAAGGCAGCGGCCTTCGCCGCGGCAGTACCGCCCCGACGTGCAATGGTGGGCGCACCAACCGGCGATCTTGCGCCCCTTCCTGGCGTGGGGCACCGGTATGCGCCCGCCTCGGACGTTGCGCGGGAGCCGGCGGACGTAGAAGTACGTCGCGAACTGGCACCACCGCACCGTCGGGTCGTCGGCGGCGTTGCGCTCAATGGCCTGGAGGTCGTCGAAGTTGTCCAGGGCGAGGGCGGCGAACGCCGGGTCGTTCGGGATGTGCTCCGCCCCCGCCCCGTAGACCTCCATGCGCCGTTTGTAGTCGGCGTACTCGGGGTCGAGAGATTCGGCGAAATCGGCGTGGTGGCCCCGAGTGCGAGCGTTTGCTCGCTGCTCGCTCGGCGAACGCCGCCTGCTCCAGCCGATCCCGACGCGCCGTGGTCGCCGAGGAGGCCCTCCGGGACGACGAGGAAGGCTTGGGTCTCGCCGGAGGGTCCTCCATCTGCAGGATCTCCCGGGAGATCTGATCCTGCAGATCGACGGAGGGAACCGGCGGGAAGATGCTCTTCGGCAACGCCGGTGGAGCCTTCTTTGGCGTCACCGCCGGTTCCGGCGAGCTCCGCCGTCTCCGTCGTTTCGGCGATGGTCTCCATGGGGGCGGTGTGGAGGACCGGCGGTGCCTTCGGCCTGGCGGCCTTCGGCGTAGACGCCGCCATCGTCGCGGGGGCCGGGCGGGAGTGCTTGGGCTCGCTCCCGCCGGCCGCCGGACCCCCGCTGGCCCCTGATCCAGCCAGTGATGTCGCCGTCGGGGACGTCGGCGTGGTACTGGTAGAGGACGTGCCGCCAGCCGCCGAAGATCTCGTCGACGGGGTCGCCGACGATGCCCACATAGGCGGCGCTGCCAACGGCGTGAACGTCGAAGGTTTCGAAGACGCCGCCGCCGCCGAAGATGTGGCCGTCGCGGTCGTCGTGCCGCCAGAAGATGCCGAAGTCGCCGAGGTCGCCGAAGTGGGACCAGCCGCCGCCGCGCCACTCGCCGCTGCCGCCGCCGACATCCTCGCCGACCCCTCAACCGTCATCCGCTGAGCCCTGTACGGGCGGGCCTTCACCGTCGAAGATGATGGGGGGGAGGCCCAGGCGCTGGCGCACCCGGACCATCAACGTCGCATGGGCCGCGACGAACTGGGTGCGCGTCTCGAAGGGCAGCGACGCGACAAAGCTGAGCGCCGACTGGGGGTCGGCGAGGATGTGCGCCAAGAAGTCGGCGACGTGCTGCTCGTCGATGGTCTGGATGGAAGACATCGCGTCGAGAGCACTACGGCAGAACACAGAAAAGCGGGCGAAGCGGCTTAATGCGGCGACAGCTACGGCGGTCGACGCTTCACATGTCCTAACGCACAAGAGATGTGCTACACTACTCGCTGACCATCTTCTGTAATTAGCAGGTTTTGACCACAAGCTCGACGGAATCTGCCTTTTGGTCTCCGGACTGCGCTGCCTTGAAGTCCATACGATGACTGCAGCTTTGAGTGGATTTCACTCGAAGCGGTCTACTATGCAACAGCTTACGGGCCGATGTTCGGCCTCTTGATTGAGATGGCACCATCACTTGGCCTTCGCTGGCTGCAAGCTTGACAACGTAGCCGCACCATGCCGCACCACAGTTTCGAAGGCGCCCCGGGGCCCCGTCCTGAAAAAACTCGGCATTCGGCTGCATTTCATGTGCTTCAGCGTCTATTTGGCAGACAAACTGCCTGCCATGGGCCAGCAACATAGGTTTCGCGGGCTACGTCTTGATGCAAGCTGGTTCTGGCGACCGATTCCCACACATGCTGGACTGTGATCAGAGTAACATGCGACGATGATTACTGCTCAGCTGAATGTTGGTCGAAGCTTGACTGCGCAAGTGAATGTCCTACGGTCAACAGTGAGTAATTACACTGTGACTGTGTGAGCTCTAATGGACGATACACAGGGTTCGACACGTACGCGTGCATTGGAAGGGACTGCAGTGGAAAGCTAATTTCCTAAAGTGCGCCGGCTGTGTTGAATGGCACACATTTCAGGGTTTGACAAATTTCGGTATCCTGCGTCCCGCTTGCCCTAAGCGGCTTGTCGATCGCAGTAGTCATCGATGAGACCTCAGAGGTTGAAGGTACTTCATGGCATGGTGTCGTGCCGTCAGGAGAAGAATGCTGCAAGTGACACGGGAACGATCACGAGCATTTTACAACGTAATAGCTCATCTACCAGAATGCAAGACACGGGCAAGAGGCATATGCAACATATTGTAACATTCTCAACCCGATTCAGCACTCAATCTTACTGCACTGGAATAGAGTTCTGCGACGGCACCCAGCCAACAAATTCGACATCCGCCGAGGCCTCGGGCCCCTCGGGCCGTGGGTGTTTCACAGGCAGCCCCAAGCCCAAAACTGTATGCCTAGCCTGGAATGGGTAACCTCCCCTAGGCGATCGGGATCTGACAGCGGACGGTTTGCCGGGACCAGGAGGCAGTTGGGGTCTCGCTGTTGGGGTCGGACGCCAAAAACCGCTTCCTCACCCCGCCACACTTGCCCCGCCCCCCCCCCCCGCCCCCAATTTTTGTCTGGGCAGCAGAACTCTCATGTTATGCAATCCAAATTCTAAGCAGCCGCTTCGGGAGCTGTGTTGGGCCAGGCCGAGGCGGGTCGTGTAGCGTTGGAATTTGGTGCAAAACAAGGCAATGACATGAAATGAAGTACCTTGCTAGAATGCTTCGCGTACTGAACAAGCTGGATGAATCATTCATGATGACGACATCACAGCAGGGTAGTCTTACAGAACTGATCCGACATGTCATCTCTCGTGATGTATGATATCAAACTACGATTCGCTCCCGGTAATGTCGGCACTGAACGAAGTTGAGTACTGTAGCAATGCCTTGCCGCTTTCTACGGCGCTGTTAACACAGGGTACTATGTAGCCCGAAAGCGGCAACGAACGAACCGAAGAACAAAATGCTATCCTACGGCTCGCAGGACTTGAATAGAAAAGATGCAATCATCGGGCAAGTGCAGCACTGGTGCTCCTAACTGGCCAGAATAGCAGCAGTCCTGCTTTGATGGTGCATCCCATTCTTCTCAGTACTCCTCTGCCCTCTCCCAAGAAGGAACGCGGCAGATAGTGGCAGCAAGTAGAAGCAAGGCCACTGCACAAGGATGACACGCAGAGAGTGCGACATGACCTCGCGCAAATCAAGGGAGTGTGCTGCCATTGACGGTCTGTCAGAAACCATACCCCTTGACAAGATCTCTCGATTTGGAGCTTGCTGAATAGAAGTAACAACAGAGGCTTCTAGATGACGGCGCCTGATTCCTAGAACAAGCTTCGAGACCACCTGCCTCTGGGGGTGCGGCTAGTGGCAGCGAACAGCTGCTTTAGCATCGCCAACTTGCCAAGCTCGTTGGTGGAAGGGGCCTTGCGATGCGATGGAAGTCATGGCCGGGCTCATTGTATGCGGTTCGCCGGTCCTTTTCCCATGGTATCCCCCGAGCCCCCCTCGCATGGTATCCTCCACCCTCCCTCCCCCTCTAAACCCTAAACCGCCCACGAAACCCTAGATCCTAAACCTTGTATACCATAAGGGAAGCTCCTGCCATCAACTGAGGTTGCGGGAAGCTTCCCCTCCGTTTAGATAGACACCCCCCCTTCCCCCCTGGCCAATGCAAGCTTCGTACTCGCACTTTTGACTCACAGGCCTCACTTTATGCCTCACAGGTGATGTCAGATGTACACACACAGAGGCATTTACGGTTCTGCGCTGTGCGTTCGTCACACACCCACACACCCACCCACCCCACCCACTCACCCACTCACCCACACACGCACGCATGCACGCAATGCTCGCACAGCTGTTCTTCGAAGCTGACTTGCACGGTTTGAAAAGGCGGGCTGGGGGGGTTGGGAGGGCGCAGCGCTTCCTCCCCACCCCTTTTCACTCTTCCTTCTTTGAACGCTTCCTATTCACATGAAGGAAACCGAAGGACATGTGTTGGAAATACAGGCCTTCTTTTCAAAAATATCGAGAAATAGTTGCCACCCCTCCAAAAAAAGGACCAATCCTTCTCCGAAAGCCTTGCCTGTGTGGCGAGGACCGCCAGGGCTTGCTGCCAAAGCTCAAAGCCACCTGGGCACTCTGAGTTTCCAGGCCCTGAAGCCACCGTTTCCCCCCAAAATTTAAAGCTCTGTAGGGATGATCTAAGCCTTTTAAGGTTCTTTAATTGAGGAATCTAGGGTGGGGGGGTAGTATGGAGGGGGGTCGTAGGGAAACCCATGATTTTCGGGCGAGGTCGGGTGAGGCCGCTGTAAATTCCTCAAAGCCACTGCCGCGGCCGCTGAGCCGCGGATGCAGAAAGTCGCCCAGCCGTGCCGCGCCAGCTGCGTCGATCTGGTGAATCGCTTAGAAATGACGGGCGTCTCGGGTGTTTACGGGGATTTCATGGTTTTTGAAATCCTATTCAAAGGCTAGAGGATTTGAGTTCACCTAAACCTTGGGGTTTTTGTTGGTGGTTCTGGTGGGAACGTATCGTTGGGGGTATGGACTTGTACGTGCATCGTCTTATCGACCCTGATTTCTGCTCCTGGCACTGGGAGTTCTGTTCTGAAGGTTTTGCGGGCTGTCTTTAAGCTTAAGTTTTCAAATCAGGGAGGGAGCCAAGAAGAGAAGATGCCAGCTAAACCCATAGGTGTAGCCTCCGCTAAAAGGCACGTTGTGTGCGAACGGACATTCGACTGGCTTGCTTTATGGTATTCCCTGGTCCAGGGCTTCGGAGGGCTTATAGGGTTTGAGTGAAGCTGCCCGAAATTCTTCGGAAGCTGTCCCGGAAGCTGGAAGCTCGTATCTCTGCCGGGGGGCGGGGCCTGTGGGGACACAATAAACGAAACGCCGATCAAGCAGCGTCAGCTGGCCAAACCTTCGCTTGATTCAACGGGAATCCCTGGGGCTACAAGGGCTACAAAGATACAAGTTTGCTAGGGACAAGAAATAATTAGCATTTGTCGTTTGTGATCCATAAAAACAGCCATGCTGAACTCAACACCAGATGCAATGCCAGCGCGTTATCTGTGAGGCTAGCCACCTGCTCCTCAAGTGTCGAGAAGTTCCTGCGGAAGACCGTGGAAACAATCATGTCCACAATCCCCCGTCTCAGCACGAGGATGCGAAGATCCTGAGTGAGGTGGGGAGTTTTGGATATGATTGGCAGCGCTGTCCAATCAGGAAGATGCACATGCTTGGATCTCTACAATATCTGCCTTCCGAACCCGCGAGCTCAAGAGCTCAAGAAAAAAAATGCTTCTCTTCGGGCCTCTCATGGGCTGAGCTCGCTTCCACTAAGTTAGACATGGACAGCACATGGACCCGGACACTGCGACCGAAGGTCTGCTGCGACCTGCTCGGCCAGCTCCGCCAGCCTGGGCAGAACCAAGTCCAAGTGCCCGCCTCCGCCACTCTCAGCTATCCGGATCCCAAACGAAAGGCACACGTGGAGCCCGTCAAGCCTAGCTGTAGGGTGTAACTCAAGCTGCTCTCCTTGACGTGCTCTTGGAGTTGGCTGCCCATCTCTGGAAGTCTACAAGCACTTGCGTGGATGCTTCCTTTGCTGTGATCTCTCCAGGCTAAATGGCCTAACTACTAGTCACCATGATCCTGCTGATCAATGGCCTCCATCGCAAGACCTCCTACGCTCCATCTTCGTCCCTATGCAACCAGACACAGTCGTGCTGCCCGCTGCTACCTGCTGCTACCCATGTCGACCAAGTGCCAGACATGCGGAGGTCGGGCCGATGGAGCGGGAAAAGACCGACTCGAAAGTTGGGATAAGACATCATGCCTGGGTGGAAGTTTAGGGCAGTTAGGGATTGAGACACAAAGCAACCATCTTCTTAGGGGAAAAAGGAAAGCAGAAAACAAGAAAACAACAGGATCAAAGATGGCCCCGATGCCAGTGAGTGTCTCCACTTCCTGCGCACCGTTGAGGAGATACAGAGCCTCAGAGGACTGCTTCAGCGCCGCCATCGCAAGCGAGACGTTGCGTGCGCTCTCTGCATAGCTGGCCGGAGTCCAGTTGCCAGGATTGAAGAGTCCGCTCGCATTCCTGACGAGCTATAAGTCTCAACTCCTTATATCCCTCGAAGCAGACCTCCGTACTTAAGACCGATAAGGGGAACCCTGTATGCGTCCGCACTTCGCGTCCACACCACCCCCCAACCCCTAACTGCCCCCCAAACCCTAACCCTTAACCTAATCGAGGCCCAAACCCACAACCCCAAAACCCCAACCCTGAACACTAAACCCACCATGAACCGCAGGGGGAGAGACGGGAAACCCTCACCTAAACTTTCGAGCCTAAACCCTTCATCCTAAACTTGAATCCTAAATCCTCAGCCATAAGCCCTGAAACCACAGACGGGGGAAGCCCCAAACCCTAATCCCACCGTGAGCTAAGGACGGGGGATATCATGTGGGAGCAAAACCCTAAAACTCACCTTTCCCAACCCAGGTTCTTGGTGTACAGAGACCGCTGCAGCTCCAGGAGCCTGCCTGGAAACTTGCACGGCCCGTGGGATTCGCTGCACCGCCGGAAAACCTCTGACCAGCCTTAGGTTGAGGTTGAGGTTTAGGGGTTTGGGGGGTTTGGGGTGAGGTTTCGGGGGCTCTGTTCTGCAAAACCCCCTCTTGGGGCGGCGCCCAGTGAAATGCTTGCCCCGAAGACTGAGCCTGTATGAGCCTCTGCTTGGGTTGAGCTCCAAAAGCATCTTCATGTCCAACGTGCCCCACTCCCTCCCCGAGTCCTCCCCGCATCGACTGAGTTTGTTGCCCCGACATCAGCTTGTGCGGGGACCTGCGTCTTCATAGGACGCTGGAGAATTGAAAACAAGTCTGGTTTTTCTCGCAATTCAGTTCGGGGCGTAGGTTCATGGTTTTAAAGCAATTCACTGGACGTGCCCATCTTAGTGGTGGAATGCTCCCAGCGCCTTTCAGCCCCATGGTAGGTAGTGCAAGAGCTTTGCGTCTCCACGGGGCGGCGCGGGCATGCACGGAGGGGGGCATGCGAACTGCGTGCGTTTTTAATGCTATCCTTGCGGGGGGTGCAGTGGTTCTTTAGGATCCGAAGAACTGCGGGAGAGCATCATGAGCACTGAGCACCCTTGGCTGCCCTGATATGGGGCCCGTGCCCATGTCTTGCAAAGCATCATCAGAACATCAGCAGCTCGAGCCACGTGTGCACGTGGCGCGCTTTTGCAGCGCCCAGGCAGCCTGCGCAGCCCCGGCCATGGGCGCAACCCCTTGAAGAAATACAGTGCTTAGAGATTCTAAAGAAGGCTTCTGATGATTTAACTTTGTGGGTTTGCTGGTCCACGCTTCAAAAGTGTTCTTAAACTGACCTCAGCATCCATGATGGCGAGTTCCTTCCAAACCCGCCAAGAACAGGAATCGCACGCTGCTTGAATGTGTGACCTTGCTGACAAAGAAGTCGGAACTGGCTCTTGGCACAGTGACATTAACAGCCTCAGCTGTTCTCAGCTCTTGTCTTGTCCCTCTCGCGCCCCCACTTCTCCCTACTTCGGCCCTACTGGGCTGCTGAGGAAGCATCAGGGAGCCCTTTTAAAGCTTCTCGGTGGCTTCTCTGAAGCTGCAGGTGCAAGATCCTGCTTTCTTGCCGGGTGACGGTGGGCCGCCAATCGTGCGGCGGCTGCCGTAAGCACGAAAGGAAGATGGCCAATGAGCTCAGACAGGCCAGGGCCAGGAGGCATCTCCGCATGGGCGGCTAGGTGAAAAAGAGGCCCCCGCATTATATGACCGGGCTTCTGAAGAAACTTTGGGGATTACGGCCGCATGGCAGAATGACATGGCACGTCCTCTGGCGGGTCCAGTTTGTCCTTTTAGGCATCGAGGGCAGCAACAGAAGGCACGAACTCGGCTACATTCATGGCATTTCATGGTGCAAGATGCTTGAACTGCCAGCAGGTGGCGCTGGGTGGTTCGGGCTGGTGTGGGGATCTTGACAGATTTGTTGTGGAGCCACCTCCAGATCCTCCAACATCCTAAACCAGGAGGCAAAATGCATTGACGTACTTGCTTGCAGAGCGAGATCTTTGTTGTGCAGGGGTTTCGGGTGTTGGGCTTAAGGTTGGGGTTCGCAACCTGCACGACCTGCATTTCATGAGGTGATGTGGCAATACAATATTTGTACACCCCGAGGGTCGGAAGAGTTTGGGTTGTGGGACAGGGTTGAAAACCAGCCTTGCCCTACACCAACAGCAGGCCCTAGTGAGAAGCAATTAGCACCCGCCTAGAGGCCCGAAGTACCCTAAGGGACATAGGTCAGAGTACGGAGTACTGGGCAATAACTTTTTTTCGGTGGAACTTCGAAGTGGGATCTCTCTCAGTGGCTCTCAGTGGAAGCTCTCAGGGAAAGAGAAGCTCGGGGTCGGCTCTTGTCATGATCGCCATTTGTGAGGAGGAACCCCCATTTGAATTAAGGGATCCAGACCCCAACCCTTTAAACGGGAACCTTCTGCAACGCATTCGGGAAAACATACCGTCTGTGCTCCCAAGATGGGTCTAGGGCTAGTCACTTCGGCACGCATTATGAACGTAGGAACATATAGGAACGCCCCGCTTTTGAAGGGGACTCCTCAATAATGGCATTAGCACCCCGCCGGGCCTACTGTAATTAGGGAGGTATGTGGGGGGGCAGCCACGATGCCGAAGGCCCAAGAAGGGATTCTCGGCCAAGCCACATCAAAATCACAGCCACAATCCCCGCTTTTAGAGTTCACAGGTGCTTGAGCTGGGTCCTCCCTGGGAGGGTGTATGGCAGTGTATGGATTGCCTCAGCTTCCGGCATTCATGGCTGCGCAGTTCGGCTGAAGCAACGTTTCGTTTTGGGTGACTCCCTACCAAAGTGGAGGCTCTGACTCACATCGAAAGTTTAAAGGGTCTCTGGACTTTAACGGCTGAGTTCCGAAACAAGCTAATCCGATTTTTGGAGACGAGATGAATCCGACCTTTTTCACCATCCTCAATGACTGAACGGAAATATTTCGCAGGAATGGTTGTGCGGTCGAAGAGTTCCGCGATGCACGGATGTCCGCACCCGTTGTCGCCGTAGTAGCAGTTTGCACGTGCAAGATCCGCCTGAGAGGTTCCATTGGATGAGCAAGGGAAGATGGCCTTGTCTTGGCACATATCTTCAGCGTAGGTTTGTGCTGCACGTAGTCTCAGTATCTCCTCGTTGACCATGTCGCGCCCGACAGCGTCAATGGTCAAGTCCAAAGATCGGTTCGCCAGCGCGTAAAGCGCGTAGTCGTGATTTCGGCGAAGAAAGTCATGGCTGAGGTAGCTGCGGACGGTGCTGCTCATGGCTGTAAAAGTTTTAGCAACTGGAATCTTGAAGCACTTATTTTCGTACTTGCCATCGTCATAGCCGCCAGAGCGCTTCGAATCCAAAACGATTAGGTCCGAAGTCTCCAGTTTCCACAAGATCTTCATCAGTGCCAGTGATTCCCAGCGGCGCTCCAAGATGCCAATGAAGTTGTAATGCCGCAAGATGTGCTGCCAGATTTCTGCGAGAGGGTTCTGCACGTTCTGTGCCTGGCACAGTTCCAAAGCCCCAATTGCAGTGTAGTCGATTTCGAGGCATGGGCAAGAGCTCTTCATGAATTCCAGGAGCCTCAAGTCACTGTAATTCTCGCCCCTTCGAGCGACATTGAAGTGATTGAACTCCGAAACGCACCTCCGTGCCGGGTCACGCAAGATTGTCCAGATCCTGAGAGTCCCCGAGGATCAAGCAATGTCAAGCCGCTTGACTTGCTTTCAAAACTACTACCCCTATTTCACAGTGTAGGGTTTAGGGACTGCTTCGACCCACACATATCATGTTAAACCTGCTGTAGTGTGCCCCCTGACCAGCTGTTGACCGTCTTTCAATGCCCTTTAAACCGAAAGACCGAAAGGCCAAGACTATGAAATCCAGTTCCCACAGGGAGAGGCTGGCCTTGGAAACAAGAGGCCTGGCCCCTCAAATCAAGAGGTTTGGCCTGTTTTGAAATCCAAAGTTAGGTTTATTTCAGGGCTGGTCATTTAGCCCAAGAGGCCAGGGCTTCGAAATCAAGAGCTGGGGGGGGGGTCCCGGGCCAGGATATAAAAAGAGCGAGGCCCAGGTTTCATAGTCGAGAGCCCTGGCCGAGGCTGCTCGGTCGCGGGTCTCTACTTTTGTCAAGCTGCAAGCTTGTTTTACAACAAGCCGCCATGGTCCTGAACGGCGCCTTGTCTTCGTACTGAAAATCTGCAGGGACTCAAATTCCTGTACTGCCCAGAACAACCAGATCACTAAGACTCAGGCACACTGCAAGCAGAGTATCAGACACGGGGGTCAGGACCCGGCAAGCTTCTACACAGGGGTTTTTGGCCAAGTGTCAGGCTGGTGTTGCGTCTGCGCACCGTCTGGGCTTTGAAGTGGTCATGCGAATGCCCGCACACGTGATCTGCGCTTTTGGCTGCTCTGGACGGCAAGACGCGTCTCCCAACCTTGCAGGCTGACACAGGGATCTAGGGGATACGGCCTGTTGCAAGGCACACGCGGGTGTATCATGCCAATATATGCTAGTTAGAGCTAGGAAGGGAGAAAGGAGGAACTTCGATGTTGCTGTTATAGAGTTTAGATGGGTTCAGGCTTATGGTACTTAGACTGTCTGTCGAACGGAGCATCCAAAACTGGCGTGTGAGGAGGAGCCATTGAGGCCGTCCTACAGCAAAAGCCCTGGGGCTTCAAGGTCATTCGGATGGCAGCGATCCGCAACAAACCCGAAACAAACCCCAAACCCCGATCCTAAAGTCAGTCTGCCTGGTGGGCGATGTGCGCATTGATGGCCACACTCGTTGAGGAGCTGGTCTTGGGGATCTTGATGTAGATCCTTACTGGTGGCTAGGAGCTCATAAAGGATTCTAGTGAGGGATTACAATCGGGGATTCTGTGTAGAAAGTAGTACACGGATGAGTTCCTCCATTCCCAGCTAACCACCAATAAGAATCAGGCCAACATCCGACTTTTCCGGCCCGTCCCAGATGCCAGGATAGCACCAATCGTAGTTGCGGCTCGTGGATTGCCACACTCTTGCTGCCGCATTCAGGGAATCCGCCGAAAACAATGGCGAAGGAAAGGGAGCTTCCGTGGTGGTCACCACGGTGGTCACGACAGAGCTTCGGGATGAAGCGTGAGCTTCGGTGATCCTCAGAGCCGCAGACGCTTAGGTGGAGCAAAGCCATGTCGCGTGCAGTTTCCGGTGCTGCGTGCTAAAGCTTAGGTGGAACTCGCCACCCCCCACCCTGTAGCAGTTTTTCCATCGCACGCTTTGTAATCACCTTCATCACTACTGCTGGGTGGGGTTTTGGCACGACAGTGGTAATGCGTAGGTACTCTGACCTGGCTCGACCCTACGTTTCCGAAACCCTGTAAACCCTATAAGGCCTAATTCGCCTCTCCGGGCGGGCGGCTCAGTAGGCGACCATGAGAGGAGGAGCTGTAGGCAAAAAGCTGTGAGCCCCAAGAGGCCGCAAAGCCCTCGATGGAAGGTACCACGCCCACATCTTGAGGCTTCTAACATGGCCCGAGGGTTTAGGCAGTTTAGGGTTTGGGCTTGAGATGCGACTCCTAAAGGGATTCGAGCTGGAGACGGCATTCGTTCATGTGCTGCTTTTGTTTCTTCAAGTTCGGGTCCTTCCCTGAGACCATGACTTTATGTGCTGTTTGGGTTACAACGTGCTGCCCATCTGTCGCACCGTTGAAAGTATAGGTATTCATGACATACGCAAGCATTCGCAAGCTCTAAACCTTCAGACGGCAGCAGGTCCAAAGGAATCATCTACGGATTGGGAGTACTATCGGATGCTGGAGTACGCCCTGCACTGTGGTGTCCCTTACTATGCTACCCTGATGCCCCACATTCTTAACTCTAAGGCCGTAAGCCCGCCCAACGTGCTACACCCTTACACTGGAATCAAACCATATCTGGGGACGATCTCAAGCGAATATCAAGGCTTCAAGGCGTCCTATGTTTGCAGCACGACTTCCTCATCTTTCATCAAGTTCGCTTCCCGCACCACTAGCAGATGTCCCTGCGGGAGATGCCTGCCTAGGCTGCTCAGGAAGCCCTGGGAACGCCGCACGCGTGCCGTTGAGGATTCGGGGTTCAGGGGGGTTTTTTTACTCCCTAACAGTACGCATCCAGGAGCCGAAGCAGCAAAAATGTCTGTCGCTGAATGGGCCCAGCTGCTTGCCTCATGGGTTGATGTTTCTCCTTCTTTGCAATCGCCTCGGCACGCCGCAGGGTGCCCGTGACGATGGATGTGAACCCAGCATCCTCCAACCACTCCTGGGCTGTTCAGGGTTTGAAGGGTGGCCACAGATGGCGGCCACAGCCAGGGATCAACAAACTGAAAAAAGGTACAGCAATTTTTTCTGCCTATTTGCAAGATCCATACAGCATCTCCGCATATGTGCGCCTATTCGTAGCTGCAAATATGGCGAGCCAGTAAACTTTTTAAAACTCTGAAAGGGTTGACCGGTCTGTCTGCTAAAAGCGCAGAATTCAAACCCAAGCCTAGCTAGCTACTCTAACTGTCATGATTCAGTACCCAGCCCTAAACTTTTCTAAGCCCAAAAGATCGACCCAGATTCCCGAAGCACGTCCGGGCTGCAAGCGAAAAGCTTGTTGGCTGCGCCTCTGTTCGGCCCGTAGCTGAGATCCACTTTGGCCACGGGAACCTCCGTCTCCACGATGATGATTCCACCTACAGGGGGGCCATACACATGGCTGTTAGGCTCCTGAAGTATGACAACTCGGATAGAAGCCTGACGGGACCCCTGTATTTTGCTGAAGCCCCTTGCCGATCTTCAGCCGGTTGTAGAGGATGCGGAGGGCCAGCAGGGGATCGGACAAGTGATACAGAACACCTGGAAAGTACACGATGTCGAAAGCCTCGTGCAGAGCCTCAATTTCCAGCTCATAGAGGCTGCGTGCAACAGCTTGCACAGGCAACTGGTAGGAGTCCGAGACGAAGCGAGTAAACATGGAGTATTTCACTGCCTCCTCCACAGAAACGACGCCTGAGACTGCGAGTTCTACTGAGCTTTCAAGAATGAGATTATGTCTCTTTGCTCGTTTCTGAGCTTCGTTGGGGGGGGTGTGGGGATTAGATTATGATTTAGATTTGATTTGTCTCAGCATTCTCCTGGCCCGAGCCTGCGCAGCCATCGTGCAAAAAAACCGGCCGAGCATCCCTTCTGCAGTGCCCACTATACCTGCAATACCCACCCGCCAGAAAATCCCACAAAGAATCCGGCTGAGTATCCCTCCACCCCCAGAGAATCCTACAGAGTGTCCCGAAGTGCCTCTCTAATTCGTTTGTTTGGGAACGCCGTCGACTCAATAGACCTGTGCATTCAGACGCGTCCGTTTGAGCTCCGGGCCTTGAAAAGCCATTTAATTTGCCCTACAATGCACAAAATCCGCCTACACAAAGTGAGACTTACATAAACCCAGTACGTTTTCTTGCGTTGGCCTACAAAGACTCTGATGGTTCCAACCTCTCTTCCAAGCAAATAGCTGCCAAACCATTCCCCGTCTGAAGGGGCGGCACGGCTCACGCATTGAACTTCTTTAGGGTTTCTTTCTTGATGTTTTATACGGAAAGGGGAGTCCGTACTTCAGAAGGAGCATATGGAGAAGCGGTAAGTAAGTGTAAGAATCAAAGTGTATGTGTGCGCGCGCGAGTCCGCGCGAGTGTGGGCGTCTGTGTGTGGGCATGACACACATTGTGTTTTTCCGCATGCTCAGCTCTGAGCCGAGCTTCGGCCAGCGCCCAGGGCAGCCAGGATGTAGGTCGTAGATCCTGTCCAGGTTCCAATGTCGAGTACCTGGGCACCCTGGAAGCTTTCCAAACTCAAGCTATAGCCTACAATCCAGGCCAGCATGTCTTCAATCCATTTGTCGCCCATGTGGTCGTTGACTTCAAACTTATCCTGCCCGGCTCCAAACCACATGTGGTGCCCCCAGAACCATCGTACAGTGTTGGCTTTCTGGCCCTCCGCGCTTTCGTAGCCTTCAGTCTCAACCCTTCCGTCGTACTTGTCCTTGAAGTTCACGAGCTGGGCTTTGAAATCAGCGAAAGTCAGGCCAGCCCTAAGCCTGTCGGGCAGAAAGCGTTTGGTTCTCAAAGCTATGAGTTCATCTCGGATGTCTTGGTATCTCGGGGAGGACCGCCAAGCAGGATCAGGCGTGGAATATGCGAAGGTCCTGCAGTTCTTGCAATACGGAAGACATACGTGTATCTGTATGCCCACACCCACATGAGAACTTCGTACATAGTGTGTTCTTTATACTTATTGTGTGCATATGTACCTGTGCAAGAATGTGTCGAATTCCTTGAACATCTGTTTATGCATTGTTACAAAAGAACAAACTTCCACCCACGGTCGAAGAGTCTTCTGTGTTGGGGGCTTCTCCATCTTGCAGCGCAACCGATCTGGAAAGAGAGGGGGCCCCTGCAACGCGCGGGTGTCGTCGGGGCGCGTCTGCCAGGATGGTCCCGAAGGTGGCTGCCTCAAAGCGATCCTTAGGGCCATGGACGTATTACACAGCTCTTGTAATCTTGAGAATTACCCCATCTGGGGTTACGAAAATGGCCGCATGAACAGTTCGAAGCTGGGGGATTCGCTCCTGTACGATGAGCTTTGGCAGCATGCCGACTGCCCTTGAAAACGAGTCTATAGTCTCGTGAGGTTGCTATGGCGCCCAGAATTCTAATCTCGATCTCAACTTCAAGCGGTGTGCAAATCACTGCTAAGTACTGTATCCAACATTTTGAAGAATGGACGGGCTTATGAGGGGCCCTCCCGATGCAACGCATGAAACACCAGCCCCTAGGTCTCTGGGTTTCCCTAAACGTTGTCTATAGCGCACGTCCTTTCTCCGCTATTCTACGGTGCGGGGCATCCCTCCTCAACCCCTCAACTCTAAACCCAAAACTCCACAGACCGGAGTAAGAGTCAGCAGCAAGACGTTGGCCGCCAATGACAACAATGCCACGGTCTTGAGGTTGAACATGAAGGCTGACGGCTACCTGCAGGCTTCACACGGAAGTTAAGATCGGAACTTCATGTCGCGTTATAAGCTTTGTGAGGTTTGAAGGGTTCGGGTTGACACATAGGGACAGGCGTCACTACCTCTTGTAAATTGCAAAACCCCGCCCCCCGCGATTAAAAAGCTGAATACTATAGCGGGCAAGCGGACAAGGTGAAACCCTTCACATGCAAGCCATGCTAGAGAAGAGCTGAAGGAATCAGTAGCCTGAGGACATTGCCCAGTCGAGACCACAGGGGACCGACTACCACGAGACTACTAGGCACCATGAGGTCATCAGGGGCCTGCTGAAAACTGCAACGAAGTTCGCAGCAGGGCCACCTACAGAACTGTGTCAGCTTGCGCTCGTTGGAGCCCACAAAACCCGCTGCGAAGGGCCTAGAAAGATGTGGGGAATAGCATCAGATCAAAGAACTTCCCAGGAATCGCAACATTGAAGGTTCTCGTTTCAGCCAGTCCTTTATTCGCGAAGCCCCCAACATCACCGACAGAAGCAAGACTCGCCTTCGAGCCGTCAGGGAGCGGACAGATGATGGCCGATACCAAGCGGGCGGAACTCTGAGCTCGCTCGGGAACGTGGAGGCGTGGTGCGACATGGCGCTCAAGCAAGCACACAAAGTTAGGGTTCACGGTCTGTGGTCCAGAGACTGGGATTGAGGATCTTAATCTAGATTGGGGCCTGAAGGCTTCAAGTAATACTTGTAGTACTTATTCGTCAAACACACTGTGGAAGGCCTGGCCTAATACGGAGAGGAAGTGGGAGGGACATTGGCTGCATCCGGTACGCTCTTTGCACGGAGAGAAGTCTAAGGAAGTTTGCAGAATTCAAATCAAAGCTTTTCGGGCTTCGCATCACATCATCGTGCTTGGAGAGCCTTGGGCGGCACAGCCCTTGAAGAGCCCAAAGTGCACCGCACGCTTCGTAGGTACATTTACGGGGAACCCGAAAGATTAGTCTTTTGCCCACCACAACACACTTTTGCTGTTTCCAATGCATGTTCTACCTCTCCATTCTGCTTGGGTGATTTTGGCAACTTTTGGCCCTCTAGGACCGCCAAGTCACAGGTCCAGAAGCCCCAAAAGTGCATTGGCTAGGGCCCCTGTCTTCTACAGGCGCCACAACCTGGAGATATCTTTCACAGTTTCGAGCATTCAGAATGCAGCATGACACGGTTCAGAACAAAGGGGCTCGAGGGGGTTTAATTTGAGCTTTGTGCGCTCTCCAGTGCCTTAAGCCCGAGGAGTTAAGGGCCTAGCGGAGGGCTTAAAGAAATGCAGTAGAGTCTAGAGTCTAGAGTCTAGAGAAAGGGCTTGTAGGTTGGGTTGAGTGTTGGCCCTCTACCTGAGTTTCCTTTCGCCTGCCTACCTCAGGCCTTTGCTGTCCTGCCTGAGCTTCTTTCTGAGATTGTCTCAGCCACCTTCGGCTGCATTTAGGGCTAAAGGCGGCTAAAGGGGGGACAAGATTTTGCTCAGGCCTGACCCGCAGCACTGGAAGATCCGAAACATTGTTTCTTACACACTTCCCGTCGCAATAATCATTCGCGGCTGCCACACAACAATTGGTAGCATGGTCGCAGCAAGAGCACCCATCCAGGCATTTCTTGACAACGCTATACAGGCTTTGTGGAGGGGAGCTTCCTAGTACGCAACGCGAGCGACACCTAAGGGCCCAACGCGCACTTTGCTCACATGCCAGTGGCCCTAAGAACAATTCAGGCGTGGTACTGTTGCAGGCACGAGATGGCACGAGGGCATAGAATCCCAAAATCGAGAGACCTCGTGCAGTTGAAGCGCCGTCACATCGGGAAAGGTCGAAGATGCCCAAGCGGCGAGGGAGCATGCATCAAGCAGCGATTATCAACTATTGCTACTACTTTGTTACATTGACTGCATGTGCTGGTCAGCTAACTATACTGGTGCAAATACACACGTTCTTCTTATCGGTCGTCGGGGGATGAATGGCGTCAATGTTGCACTGTTGCACCACCATATCCGTTCCTCGGAGCGAAGTTCCTGTCACCGTCCAGGGCTTCCCCCTTCACGTGCTCCGACAAACCGGGACAAACGCTATTCCACCTCATTCCTTGCCTGGATTTGTGCAGCGCAAGAATAGGCCGTGACAGAGCGCTAACCCCAAGGCCAGGACCGTAAACCCGGAGTCGGAGTCCATGAGAAACGTACATGTCGCGTATGTACAGCCGCGAGCACATGTGAAGACGAGCCACCACCAGTCTTCAAGCTGCTTGAGCCTTCCACGCAACACGGGAAACGGCAGAACTTTGCCACTTCTTGTCGGCCGGATCCGCGAGTGTATTTGTGAGCTTCGCAGGCGACGTGACTATAAGACCGCTGTTGCGGGACTGTTGGCGCCGCTCTCCACTTCAGTGCAGCCATCCGCGGACATGGACCCAGAAGTGTGAGACTGCGGCATCACTCCTTGCGGTGATTGCAACACCGCAAGCAACATGAATACCGGGCAAGATCCGGGAGGCTCACCACTTTCCACCCCATCGGCCAGATCCCACAGTGCTTGGTGGAAGGAACTTGCTTGAGAGGCTGATCCCTCGGCGATCTAAATCTGCCAAAGTTAGTGGGTCAACTTTGCCGACGTGTGTGGACCTGAAAAAGCTGTCGTGCAAAACAGGCAGTGGTTTCGCCATGCATCGCCATGCTAGTTCTGCGCATGTGTCTGCGTTCAACAGTATATGACAAAACATGAGCGAGACTTTTGTAGAAATTGCGTACAGAATAGATTCACATCGGCTACCATGTGACTGAGGCGCGGACTCCTGAAACTGGAGCACCGGCTCTGCGAGTCGAAAGATGTCCCACCATCCAAGCTCGATCAGGTCCCTAAATGCGTCAGTCGTCAGCAAATCATCCCAACGATTTGCTATTTGTCCCCCATGGGTGACATGGTACCATTCTGATATATTGGAGCCTTGCACATACAAGTCATGAATAAATGATGCGCGCCAAAAGCTGTGCGACCACACCATGACATTCGTCGGTGGTCTTTTCCTCAGGCGCCCCAGCCGCACTCGGTCGGGCTGTTCAGAAGTGTCTGTGATGTTCGCTGCCTCCGGAGTGTCCGGAAAGAGGAAGGTGTCCAGTACCGGCAAGCTTGGTGTGCCATTCGGGTGGAGGCCCTCAGTGTAGGCAATTGTGAAGCTGAGCAGCCGAGGATTTTCAAGTTGTGCCCGCACAAACAGCATCGCAAGTTCCAGCTTCTCGTAGTTGAAGACGGAGCTGATGTAGTAATCATCCATGGCAAAGAATACAATCTTGTTCAAACACCCGCAGGCATCCAGCAGATTTAGAACGGTTTCGTTTATGGCCACCGGTGTTTTCACCAGAGTGACAAAATCTCCATATAGCTGCATCATGTCGGAAGGAAATTCACCATTGTACGGAACATAAAACTGAAACGGATGCAAAGGCCAGTGCTCCGTGTAAGACGCCAGCATGTTCTGCAGGAATTCGCGGTGTCCATCGAATGTTACGACAAGTGCTGGAATCCGGATGTCGGCATGATCGTTTCGGTGTGCCTTGATCGGTGTGATTCGCCAACACACTGGATGTAAATCAGATCGTGGAGAACCTCCACCATGAGCATTGAAATGAATGCCGCTCCTTCGAAGCTTGCTGGCTACCGTACTCCTCTTTACATGCGCAGCACTTCAAGCTCACTATCCGGGCTCTACAACTGCTTCTCGCTCATCTACAACATGTTTAAGCGCTCAGTGGAAATAGTTTGCATATCTGTTTGGCAAGAGGGGTAAGAGGGGGCCCGTCCTCTGTTTCTCACAGGAGTCTCTGTAGGAGCAAAAGGACTGGATCTCGGAAGTGTACCCCTTCCATGTGCGTCGCGAGCAGAGGCCGAGGGCCTGCACGGCAGCTTCGCAAGTCTGCTGGCTGCGTATGGCAAGTTCGATTGGACACTGCGTCCCGTTCTCCCCCTTGTAGTATGGGACAAGTGAGTCATTACTTTCATTGGAGGTGGTCTGCCAAACGTCCAGGAAGTTCAGATCAATGTCGAACTCAAGCCACGTGCACCATGTTGCTGCTCCGCCACAAACTACCAAGACAAGTAACGCCACCTTTGGCTGTCGCACGCAGCATGTACAGCTACTGCAATTCACACACATGGGCCGAGCACAGATTTGGTACGATATGATACGACGGAGTCATTGCGTGGCTATGTTCAAGTCCTCTGCTTTGCTCTATGAGTATGTCTTCTCCGGGGTACTGTGTGGCTTCTATTCTGTTATCGTCGCTATTTTATTATTTGTCTAGAGTTGGCCTGCAAGGCAGGTGCAAGATAAGCCAAATGCTAGCAAAGGGAGAAGGAGGAAATTCGAGTAGCGTGCATTGTCCACGCAAGTGCCACAAGATGCCACAAGTCAAGCCATGAATGCAGAAAACGACCCATGTGGAATGCAAATGTTCAGGGATCCAGACTTCCGAAGCACTGCAAGCGAGCACATTTGCTCAGCTGGCGGGTCCGCGGCATGCATCGTTGCAGGGGAGAGTACCATGGGTTTTGCAACTTGCTGTGAGGTGCAAAGTCGCAACATGACATGGATGTCGGGGTTTCAGGGATGCCTTTCGTATCTGTTGCGATCCGGGTTCAGGTGCATCGTCTTAGCCTTCTTTTTGGTTTGTTGCTTCCCCGGGGTGGGGTCTTGGCTTTAACCAAGCTGCAGTTTGTCACGTGTTTTGTCGAAGATGAGCTGTACAACAGTTGTATAACCCTGCTGACTTCACTTTGGCTTCCGAATTCCAACGCTTTCAACAACCCTCTACAGTACTTCCACAAGTAACTACAAGCCCACACAACCACACAGTAGTCACCACGAACCCCCAAGTACTCGAGGATTCAAGAAAGGCTGCCCTGGCGGGGGTTTGTGGTCAAGGTGCAGCGGGGATATGATGTGATGGGAGGTGTGGTTTCTGGGTGTGGGCAGGGGGAGGGGACAGCACGTGAAGAGAAGGCTTCAGAGTAGAATCTCTACGCCCGGATTTGTGTCATGGTTCTCTGTATGCTCGGACTAGACATTAATAAGTCCGCAAAATAACTTCCCGTGAAAGCAACATCTACTGCGTGTGACACAAACCCGAAGTTTGGCAAGTGGAAGTGATGGGGAAGGGCTCCAAGAAGTGCCGAACTAGGCACCGGCAAGTTGCCACAGGGAAGGGGTTGATGGTCTGTAGTGAAGTAGTGTGTTGTGGGAGTGTGATGGGTACGCAAAGTAGTGCCCAAGCGGACCCGCCTTGTGATGAACCACTTGCTGATCGTCTTCTGTAGCAGGGTTTGACCCAACGCTCGACTGAATCTGCCTTTTGGTCTCCGGACGGCGCTGCCTTGAAGTCCATGCTATGACTGCAGCTTTGAGTGGATTTCACTCGAAGCGGCCTATTTGACATTATGTGACTATTTGCTCCCACCAGCTTTATCTTCAGATATGCTGGCATCATCGACCTGAAGACCGCGCAAACGCCCGGCAGCACTCGACTCACTAGAAAAGACAAGCACAACTGCACAAGCCCTCTGTAAGCCTACAAATCATCGGCCCTGTACAGGCTAAGTGGTGCACCGACTCCTCAAAGTCATCGGCCCCATAGCTGTCATCCAGGTCGCTCCCTTCAGCCTCAGAGGCAATTGCAAGGCCAAGATATTTAAGGCCTGGGGTGGAAAAAAGTCAGAGTTTGGGGGCTCATAGACTGATACTCGTTTAGGAGCACAGGGTGGGACTTCGTGTATTCGGGTCATTCGCAAGTGCACCGAAGGCTTTCACCGCCCGCTGACACTGCAAGCTTGCGCTGATCATCAATTAGCCTTCAGGGCTTCGGGGACCTTCCCACAAGCCTACGTTCCCTAAGCTGCAGGTTCAAAATGGTTCAAAGTCCCTGCAATTTTCGGATCCTCATCGGCCTCAATTGCAGCGCGATCGTGCGGACAAAACAACCCCGAGGCGTACCGCACAGCTTGGACTGCCGACGTGCGCGGGCTGCGTGGCTTGCGCCGGGCCGAGGCGGCGCGCCGCAAAAACCGTCTAAATTGACAACGGGGGGTAACATTGGTTCGCGCATGACGAGTGCGGAGTCAAAGCTTCTGGCAGGGACTTTCTCTACCTGGCCGTCCTTTTTGGCCTGCTGGCACAAGGATGCACAAGGATGCACAAGGGAACAAGGAAGGAATGATAACTATGATAACCAATTATGAGGAATGTCGGCCAAGCTCTGCGGCTCTGCACCTTGGTGTCAGCCACTCCTCCCCTTCGGTGCCCGCAGCCGCGGCAGAACTTTGCATCTGCCAGGTAGATGTTGCCACACCTCTCCGGGCTTTCAGTGCTCCAGCTCGTAAAGAGGGCATTTGATTTTTGATGGCATTTGCAATAAGTTGTTGAGGCCACGTCTCCGGGCATGATGTCTCCTCAGCTCAGAAGAGTCCGCAAAGCCATGTACCACCTTCTGCAGCCCTGTCCTCGATGGAAGACAGCCGCTTTAGCCGTTCTTCCAATCCGACCGTCACCTGCGCAGGCGAGTCTGTCCTGACATGCGACGCTCGCTTCAAGGAGGCGCATTCTCATTTGGCCTTCTTGCACTCTGTGACAGTCGCAACCACCTCCTGAACCCGATCCGACAGATCTGCCATGGTGGCCTGGAAAAGATGAGCTTGGCAGCTGGCAGAGTGTCTGAAAAGTGCGTGAGGTGGCGCATCTGTGATCTTCTCGGCCTTGGCCTTCCCAAGCTCTTCTTGCTGCTTCCCCAAAGCCTCCAACTCTTGGAGGACCTCGCGTTTTCACTCAGTTGTGCGTGACGTGTGACGTACGGTCATCCAAACCTTGTTCTGGAGCTCCAAGACCTTCGTTTCAACCTGAGAGTGTGCTGCCTTTCCGATTCTTTCTGATGCACACCTCTTTTACCCCAAAGCTGAAATAGTTCAATACAAAAACAAAAGGTCTTGAACGGGATTACCTGGGTGTCCGGCTTCGGGTGCCGCCTCAAGAGGAGAGGACTGGAACTTACTGGAACTGTGCTTGTCGAAACCCACAAAACTCGCACAAACGCCATGACTTCGCAACATTCACCCGGGCCTTGCCCGCGTCGCTTTGGAGACGCACTCGCGCCTCTTCGGGAACATCGTGCCCGAGTGACAGCATTCCTTCAAGTCTCTTGTGGCGCACTTCGGCCTTGCCAAGCTCGCCTTGATGCATCTTCAAATCCTGCAGCTCCTGAGCCACCTGTGCAAACGCCCTCAAACGCCCCCTCCCAACATCGGATGCTTTTGGATGGAAGACGACGTGCCCCCAAATCCGTTTCCGGCCTGGGCAGCTAGGCGCTCAACGCTCTGTTCCAAGTCCTGTGCTGTGTGGCGGCCGCGATCCAACATGATCCTACTGCCAACTTCATTGGCACTGGGCAGCACTGCACGATTCGACGGAGTCCTGTACATCTGGCTTTCCTCCCGTGCTTGGCTTTACCTACGACAGCGTTCAAGCAGAGAGCTTTGTCTGCTAAAGTCTCTGTGATTGTCTCTTTGCTGTTCTCCGGTGTTCTGCAGGCTTCGGCTTTCAGGTAGCGAAATTTGCCTTTGCCAGGAGCTGCTGCTGCTCTGCAAGCTGCTCCAGCTCCTCCACCACCTACGGATTGAGAGGACCAGACAAAGATGACGTGTCTTGAAGTGCAAAAAAACCTTCGTTCCCCACTCGCGCGCGCGTGCGCCTGCTTCTGGAGCTCTTCGACCCGCAGCTCCAACCGACGAGCACCATCCGACACCTGGAACTTTGTCTGGATACGGCTGCATTTAGTCACTCTTGAAGCCAGGAACTGGCGCCTGTTTCCTGGGTGCTGTGGCGATGGCATCCTGGGGGCACTTAAGGGCTTGGACGGGACTCGTGGTCGCCTTGCAGCATCGGCCTGCTCCACGCGGCGGACCACGCTGCGTAAGGAGGCCTGACAAAATCTTCAAAAATCACTGCGCTCGCGGTTGCTCTCTCCTAGCTTCTCAGTGCTCCCTGCACTTCTTTTCCCACCTGAAGGTCTGCGACGTCTGAATGAACTCCACGCAAGTCATTCTGGCAGGTCCTGTGCTCAATCTCAGCTCAGCATGCTCGGCAGGAGGGCGGTGCGCGCTGCAAGGACACGCTGTGGCAAATGGCCTGGCAAGGGCATAAGCCTCGCCGTGGGCATCCTGGGGCTGCAAACTGAAAATGCCTATAGGGCCTATAGGGCCTATAGGGCTCCGCAGAGAAAAGTGAGAAGGGTTGCAAGATGTTGCAAGCATTTGCAAGCGAAGTCCTCGTTCATGAGCTCCTCACGCACAGCCTTAGATGCGGCCTCGGTTGCCTGCAAGTGGGGTGAGTGCAAAGCTGCACCCTCCTAAGGTTTGAACTTGCCAAGGATGCCCCAAAAAGGCACCTCCACGCGTTGAATCGTGTCGTCAACTATGCTGCGGACTTCGCGGATGGAATCCTGAGGTGCAAAGGCTTAAGTGAATGGTGGAGATTTGCGAAGGCTTGCCGTGGACAACGCGAGGTAACTCGCGGCAACTCGAGTCCTCTGATTCCTTCGACTTTCGCAGCGTCTCGGCCAGCTTGGCTTCCAAGTCGTGCATGCCGGCGGATACTGTTGCTTCTGATGCCTCCACCTGCCGTACACATTCACTATTATACTACTCAATGCAGCTGGTATCGCAAGACGTCCGTAATTTATTCAACTGTCAACAACCCGGCGTGTGAGGTGAGCCCCGCAGCGCCTTTCGGGTCAAGTCGCTTGCGCTAGCAGAGAACTGGGCGTGGGTCACCTTGCACTCGCTTGGTTCTCCTATGTTCGTGCTGGAGGACAATCTTCGGTTGTGTGTTTTGTGGTGTGTTGTGGCGTGTTGTGCTGTGGTGTCGGACCGCGGCATTGTGCTGCGGCGCTTGTGCTGCGGCGCTTGTGCTGCGGCGCTTGTGCTGTGGCGCTTGTGCTGTGGCGCTTGTGCTGTGGCGCTTGTGCTGTGCTGAACTGTTGTCTACGTGTGTGATGTGTGTGTGATGTGTGTGGGATGTGTGATGCGTGTCGTGGGTCGTGTGTCGTGTGTCGTGTGTCGTGTGTCGTGTGTCGTGTCTCGTGTGTCCTGTGTCCTGTGTCCTGTGTCCTGTGTCCTGTGTCCTGTGTCCTGTGTCCTGTGTCGTGTGTCGTGTGTCGTGTGTCGTGTGTGGTGTGTCGTGTGTGTTGTGTGTTGTGTGTTGTGTGTTGTGTGTTGTGTGTTGTGTGTTGTGTGTGTGTGTTGTGTGTGTGTAGGTGGGTGCGTGCATCAGGCGTTGATTTTTGTGTGTTGTGAGCGTGTCTGTCACTGTGCGTGAGTATGCGTAGGCGCGGGCGAAAACGGGCGGGCGGGCGTGCGGGCGTGCAGGCGTGCTTGGGTGGGTGTGTGCTTAAGCCCTGTATACCACGTGCTGAGCACTGAGAGGCCAAAGACTGCAGTCAGCTTGCCTTGTCCGTGAGCTGCTCCTGTTATTGGAGCAGTCGGGTTCTGGACTTCTCCCAACTTGGTAACTTGTACACTTGCCTGGCCTTCTGCTCCTCAAGCTCCTGACATGAACCGCAAGCACGAAAAACATCCAAAGCTGCGAGCGGTTGGGTTTCTTGAGTGCGACCATCCTGTTTGAGAGCTTTGAGCATGTCTTTCAGCACGTCTTCGTTGTCCTGAGGACTTCCGCGCATTGGAAAGCTCAACACTGTCGAGATACCACGACACAGGCAATGAAGCCCTGGGCCCTGGCCTCTTTGAGAGCCTCAAAACATCTTCAAAGTCAGGTGCAACGTCTCACAAAAAAGATCCCGGATGCGAGAGTTGGGCACCTGCCTTCCCCGAGTGGCCCATCTCTGAGAGCTTCTCCTGGACGCTGGAAGCCGCGGCCTCCCGTGCCTGCACTCTTATCCCTTGAGGCTTCGACGTCCTCAAGGCTCGAGTGACTCAACGTGTCGACTTCTATGGGCCGCTCTGCCCAACTACGCCACCGGGAGATGCTGCGGTCCCCTGCGGTCTGCCGTGGACCTTAACTATGAAAACCGATGCACAGCTCAGGGGTCCAATGACCTCATGATCTCATGACCTCCATGGACCCCCCTTTCTGGCCCATCTATCGACCCCCTGACTTTCGGCCGAGGCGGTGCGCGCAGGCGCTCATAGTAGTGACTTTTGTTAGCACTTGCAGCAAAATGCTTACAGCATTTTCTGGCAAAAACAAAAAAGTTGACAGAATTGCGCCATGACGCAACAAGCAAGCCGGTTGGGATTTGGGGCTGAAATCTCGGGGTTGGATTTCTGTAAGGTGCGGGACGATAATTGTACTTGTTTTTGCAGCGGCAGGCTCAGGCTGTGAATGAAACGTCCTGGGACGGGTCAGAGGTCATGTAATGTAGTGTTTGGGGACAAACAGCTTCTAGCTTACCATGGCCCTCTTCCAAATCCCTCACATTCATACTCGGCCCGGCCATCTTTGTATTTTGGGCTTCCAAGAGTTTTCTAAAGCCTTAGACCCACCCGCCTCCAAGATGATCGTGGAGAGATCCTGCACAAAAAACTTCAGAGTCAGAAACACAATCTTTCCCAAACACAGAGAAGGTTTGGAAAACGTCGGCCCGGCCTGGGGCGCAGGCGCAAGCTCTCTGGGCCGTTTCTCACAGGCCTTCCAGGAAAGCTGAATACTACACGCAGTCGCACAAAAAAAACCAACGCACAGAGGTAGAGAAGCTTGCATGTGCCCCTTTGGGCCTGATGGGTCCGGATGTTTTTTTTGGGGGAGGCTTGCTCTTGTATCTTTTCACCAAATCGTCGCCGCAAGTCTGCAGCTTCGAGTCTCAGATGCCGTATGTGCTTAGTGTCACGCAAACCCTGAAGAAACGGTTGCGTTTTTGACCTGGGTGTTGCAACGGAAGGCACTTGCGGAAAGTGCTTCAAGGGCCCCTTGAATTTGGGGATAGCTGGTTTGAACCAGTTGGAGATCACGATCTCTCCACCCCACATGCCGGAAGACAAGAAGCCAAGGTTGAGTGCCGCGTGCTGCCTATTTCGTAGGCGTCGTACAATGTTTTGCTGGTCATGCCACGACGACAACTGATGCAACGTACATCTTTCAAATCCAAGCGGGCCAATGGCTCCGTCCCTCTAGCAGGCTGAGCACGTCAGCATGAACATGCAATGCTTATTTGCCCGAACACAGGACCCTGAGACTGGCTACATTCCAAATCGCGAAATTTGTTGGAGACTTTCCAGGACTGTCAAGTAACCAGAGCCCGAAAAAACAACACACACACACACACACACACACACACACACACACACGCACGCACGCACGCACGCACGCACACACACACACACACACACACACACACACACACACACACACACAGACACACACACGCGCGCACACACACACACACACACATTTTGGCGCCTCCACTCGCGAGGCCAGGCTCTCCACCAGGTTCGTGAGGTCTCGATTGGAGCCTTCGAGGCCATTCTGCAGCACCTGAACCTCGCATCGGAGGGACTTCTCGGAGCAAGAAACTACAGGGATAACGTACGAGTAGCATCGCTACCTCCACTCCCCCTTAAGAGGGAGGTGATCTCAGGCTTGCGAGGCTTTTCATGGCTAGGATGTGCATCTGACCCTTCAAGGCCTTGTCAATGCTCGACAGCATCTTTTGCAACGCTTCGGAGGTTCGGCTCTCGGAAGCCTCGCACTGCCCCTGAACCATCTAGAGCTTGAAGCCTATGAAGCCTATGAAGCCTACAGCCACTGGCGGACATCGAGAAAAAGAAGCTGCTTTGTTGGATATTGAAGCCACTGAATCCAGATCCCGGATATTCCGGCTTGACACCCTGAATACCGTTCGCGTTGCATGTCCGTTCCGTTGCATCGTTGCCCGCCTCGAACCTCTCCGTCAACGCTTGCACTGCTGGCTGCAGCTCGCCTTTGGCGCCATGGAACTCCATCAAAGGCCAAACTTGTATGCAAGCTGCAAAATTATTGTGGTACCATATGGTACCATGAGTACCTTCATGTAGCTTCCTAGTCGCAGATGACTGGACCCCTCAAGGAGGCGACTGAGAGGCTCGTGCACAGACCGATCCGGCAGCTCCTGGCGTCGCCATGTCATGTACTCACGTTGACAGCTACCACCTCCATGCGACTCGGACTCGCAACTAAGAGGCTTGTGATGCGAATTGAGTCTCTTGAGTTTTGCAGAGGTCCTGCACTGTTCTCCGCATGTCCTCAGAAGCAGACCTCTGTCAACACGCAAGAAAATCTCAAGAAACGCAAGCAGAAGTGTCGAAGCTCGAGAACCGGGGGGGGGAAAATCTCCGAAAATCCGAGAGCTCTGCTCGGCCAGCTCCAGGCGCCTAAAAGAACACATCTCCACGTTGAACACAGATATGAACACAGATTTGAACGACAAGTTTAACCAAGGTACAACTTGTACAATCAGGCCGGTCTGTTGAGTTATGCTGCTTACTGCTTTGCTTGCATGAAGCTGGCTTTGTGCCAGCTGCTGCCAGGCGGCCCCGACATCTTCCGCATGTCTTCTGCCAGCTTGCCCACGCGCTCCTGCAGGAAAAGCCTTCGTGATTTGAACAGCTTCGCAAGTCGCGTTCGCTTGCTCCTGCTCCACGACCAAGTCAAATCGCAAAGACTGCATGTTGCTTCCACCTTGCTACGGAAACTGAAATGGGAGCTCAACAGTCAGCATGCTGTGACTCAGTCGCGAGCTGCTTTCCGCTAGCTTCAGAGCTTTCGAGACGCGCGCAGAAAGCTCCTCGAAGTGTGCTGCCTCGAACCATGTGGCTGTTGTACCAACCCTCGATACGTGATCTTCCTTCAGAGACTGCACTGCTGACATGGCCTCTTCACCAGCTGAACTCATACCTGACAGTAACCCATCAGCTCAAGTTCTTTTCTACCACCGCAGCATCTAAAAAGCAGCTCAGGTCTAACTTGCTGGCGAGGAGCGCGCAGGAAGATTCTGGATCTGGTCTTTCAAATGCTGCTCCAGATGCTCCATGTGCTTTCGAACAACTTGGACAGAGGACTCCAGTGCGCTGACCCGGCTTGCATCAACCTGCCAATGTCAGTGTGAATGAACTGGAAAAACAGTGAGATCCCTCTGATGGAACGTTCCGTGTTGCAATGTTCGCACAAAACACACCCCTTGACATTGGCTGATGGCGCCGACTCATGTGTGTCACGGCATTCCCCCTCTGTCGCAGCGCAGTTCCCTTCACGTGCGCACCATGAAGTAGCCATTCTTTCTTGGGGCGTGGCACGAACAGCAAACATGAATCACTACAGCTTCTCTCAAGCGATCGTGTGACAAGTCTTCTTGCACATGTGACGCTGCGGCTTGGCACGGCCCACCAACAGAAACATCACTGCACGCTGCAGGAGTAGAAGCTGCAAGCGCAAAACTACGAGCCAGCATCGTATGCTAGCACAAGCTGCAGACCGTGAGAGGGGGGGTGGCTGAGGAGGCCACGCTGACCCAAAAGGTGGCCCACACGCCACACGGCCCGCCCGGCCCGTAAGTCCTATTCGCCCCAAAAACAAGAAGGTTGTAAACAAAAGCTCCAAGAAGCTAGCTTTCGTGACAGACAGAAAGCATTCATGCTGTACAATACCGTCATCATCCCACATCATGCAAGAAGTTCTAGGTGAAATGATGTTCTAGGCGGCGAACCTCGAGTGCCTCGCTGGCAGGCTGTGGATGCGGAGGTCGTTGCACTAACGCTTCCTGAGACTTCTCTCGCACGCTCTATCCCCCTACTCCTTCACCCACAAGAAGAATCAGGCCTGGAAACATTCACCTTTCATTTAGGGGCGGTCTCTTTCTACAGCTTGCCCCGGGAGCCCGAAAACCCTCAACCTGAAACTTCATATGTGAGACTGTGTGGGGATTCAATTCCGAAACCCTACACGCCCTCGTAGCAGTAGCACATATTGGGACTGGCGGTGGCAGTGGCAGTAGGGGTAGCAGTCGTGATGATGGCAATAGTCGCATTGGTGGCATCAATTGTACCAGTAGTTGTGGTAGTTCTGACAGAAGTGGTAGTAGCGGCAGTACTGTTGTTGTGGCAATGGTCATTAGTCGTCGTGATGGTGGTGGCAGTGGTAGTACTATGATACGAATACAGACTAGTGCTCGTCGCAGTACAAGTACTACTTCTACTTCTACGAGTCCTACTACTTCTACTACTTCCATTACACGACTTCTACTGCCACTATTGCTGCTGCAGCTACAATGACAACTACGAGTTTGACTAGGCAGGAGTTGGAGAAGGAGTCGGAGTGCAGTAGGTACTCAGGAGGAGCAGGTGGTGTCGCTATGAGTCCCAGGGACCATCTCAACGATGCGAGCCACGGCCTGTGCCAGCTCTTGGGACAAGGCCTTTCCAAGGCAGAGCCATGTGAGTAGACGCGGTAGACGTGCAGCTCAGTGAAGTTCAGTGAAGTTCGGTGGGCTTACGTTGGACACCGCGCAGCCTCTAGGCTTGCTCTCGTCGCAAAGCTTTCATTCATAGGGGAGGTTGCTGCTGCCGTTGGAGTCTCGGTAGGCAGACAAACTCAAGAAACCAGTTCAGGAATGAGAGCGGAAGTTTGAGCAACTGAGCAAAGCCGAGGCTGCGGCTGGAGCAGGGCTGTGGTCTACCTGCAGAATGCAAGTGGCCAAACCAAACCGAGTCCATTTACCACCTTTCTTCAACACCTTGACAATCCTAGCCCTTATGGCCAGCGAGTGTCTCTCGAACCGCATGTATCTCTGGATGCCCCTGCGTTCTGAGGTGTCTTCGCGAAGGGCATGCCGTCAAATTATGTCAAAGCGAGTTCTTTGTACCAATGTTTTCGGCTACATGGGTGGATTCCCCACGGTCCTTCCCCAGGCATCAGGTGGTGGTGAGATCAATTAGCAGCCGAAACACTTGCAAGCCCACTCAGAAACAAAAACTCGTGGCTCTGTGCGCAGGTACTGAGCTACTGCTCTTACAGTTATCATCATCTCATGGGCATATTTAGCATTTCCTCGACTCTTTTCAGACAGTAGGGGTGCCTGTAGCTGCTCGAACTTGTGCTCCAAGTTCGATGCGCCTCAGACGTTGCGAACCACTGTATAGGAGGGGGGAAGGGCCCAATTTTGGAAAGGCGTGGGGGGGGGGGGCCTATCTAGGAAGAAGCCCCACATGATCTGAAGAAAGCATCCAAGCCCACCACGAGCTTCAGCGGTGGCTGTTCGTTGCGACAGGCGCCGTAGAGGCCTTTCTACAAAGTCGTGGCATCCATCGGCAACTGTTCAATGCTTAAAACCAGGGTCTGCACTCGGAGATCTCTTGCACAGCAAGATCCAAGCGGTGAAGCTCCGTCCGATCAGCCTCGCGAGACACCAGTTTCTCGTAGCTTCTCAAAGCTTCTCAGAGTGTGGCATCTTGCGTCAGCGTGTCGCGATGCCTTTTCCGAAATCGCCTCCTCGTCGATCAGCTCCAGTCGATGCTCCAGCCTGCCGCGCTACCGCTACACTGGCCATGCAGTTTAACCATCATACACTGCGTATCACTGCGTCATACACTGCTATCTGCGGCTCTGGCCCTTCGACTCGAACCAGGAGTCCACAGAAATCCTGACATCTTCCCGCATACCCCCTTGGGGGATTCCTCTCAGACCCAGACTGGGCTGAAGCTCGCCCAACAGATGGAGGGGCTTGGCAAGGCTTTGAAACGCCGCAAGCCGTTGTCGGTGCGCCTCGTCGCGCTGCGCACTTTGTCCGGGATCTACTAGGGCCTCCAGTCGTCGAAGCTGCTGGTCCTCGACGATGGCTTGCAATTATAGTGCACATCAATGCATGACCATTAGCGCAGGGCCTGTGCAGCACACGCTTCTCTCAGACGTGCGACGGCACCCTGGTGCAGAATGTTGTATAGGCTTTCTCTCAATCAAAACCAATGCACTCCGTGCAGCCTCTGCAGGATCTGCTTGATGGTCCTTCAGCAAGTCAGTTGGAGTGCACTGTGATTTCATGGCATTTCGGTTGTCAAGGGCCCTTGGCAATTTCTTTTCTTCTGGCGGGGTGCTTTTTTGTTTTGGGCTGAGAGTCACCTCGACTCAGCCTCCGCATCTTCGAGCCAACTCTCTCCCCTCGGCCCTCTTTGGGCGGCAGATGAGGGCTTCTGGATGTTTCTTGTGCATTGCTGCCTTCGCGCACAAGCCACTAGGATTTCGGTTCGCGCCACCTCCTCCGAAGAAGGCGTTGGCCCCCTCATGCGTTTTTCGAAAGTCAGCTTTAAGGTTCTCTAGTTGCTGCTTTGGTGACATTTCCAAATCACCTGCTGGTTCTTTCGACTGGTGTCGGCCAATCATTGTCTCAGCAGCGGGAAAGGCGAGGAGCATGTTTGCATGGCTGTGTCTGCCTATCGAACTCTCTGCCGACGAGCCCCTCACAAGCCGAAAGAACGAACGCAAGTGCGCAAGTGTGTAGCGCGCTGGACTTGGCTGACTACCAGAATTGATGCGACCCTGATCCTGATCCTATGATTCTGGGATAGCATCTCTCGTCACAGCCCTCGCATTGAGGGTAATGCTGTGCACATACGACATACACGCAGCTCCTGCAAGAGGTCTCTGAGCTCGCTCATGGCCTCCTCGTTGCTGTCTGCCAGCCTCCTTCAGACGCTTGGGCATGTTTCAGCGTGTTCCACACGGGACCGGTTTTTGGGACAGCAGGAAGGAGACTATGGCCTACCAGCTTACTAGCGGCAGCTAGCGCTTCGAGCACCTTGCAAGGTGCTCGAAGCGCTGGTCCATCTCGGAGCGATCTGCCATTCTCAGCTGCTGCATCTCCGCACGGAGGGCCTGAACATCCCACTGCAGAGCTGCTAGGCAAAGCCGAGCCGCTAGGCTGAACTTCGAAGCTAAGCTACCACAAAATGTACACCAATTGCTGAAGACTCAAACTCGGCCTCCAAGGTCGGGCTCACCACCTTCTCCAGGCGTTCGCCCGCCGCTACCAAGCGCTGCTCCTGCGGCAACTCGCCTTTGGAAAAGGCACCGAATTTGGCTTGGAGAGAGGAGAGCGAAAGAAAGAGAGAGAGAGAGAGAGCGAGAGAGAGAGAGAGGGAGTGAGAGAGCTAGAAAGGGGTGAGAGAGCGAGAAAGGGGTGAGATTGTCGTCGTCCTGGCCGTCCGTGCGTACTCGCAGGCTGGCTAATGCCGACGAGTGGTCGTCGAGCTGAGCGCAGCGCTTCGTTCAAGTTACAGACCCTCATAAAGAGTGGCGGCTGAAAGGCTCTCGTGAGGCGCCTGGCTCGCCAAGTGCTTGGAGAGAGTCGCCAGCTCCGTCTCCAAAGCCTTCTAAGAATTTTCAAAAGAGGCGTGCAGGCTACACACAGCGGCTACTACCGACGTCGAAGCTGGAGGATTACTGGAGGGCACTGGCAAAACACACTTGTATGTTCTTGCGGCATTGTCCCGTGCTCTCAGATTGTCGCGCGGACGACATCGTAGCCCGGGTCATCTGCATGCACGATGGGCCTCTTGGACATGACAATAGATTCGAAGCAGCTTCTTCAATTCATTTCGGCACGGGCCGTTTTCCAAAGAGCAACCATGGTGTTCGATCAGAGAAGTGCCATGGCCAGGCACACAGCAGCTGAAATGAACGGTCTCAAAACAGAACTCTTTTTTCAGGGAATGCTCGGGGCGCGGCGCCGCTCGCCTGCTGGGACTCAAGGAGTCCAGTCGCTGGCTGGCAGTCGACGCGGCCACATTGCGGAACTCTTCTTCCAAGCTCGCCTGGCTTGATGCTCAGCAGCGCAAAGATGCTTCAGTGTAGGCATCCAGAACAGAAGCTCACCCTTTTCGGGTCGTGGGCCTGTTGGCCTTCCAACTCCGAAAGCCGCCCCTGCAGCTCAGGCTACTCAGCCAAGCATAACGTGAGATCACTTAAACGACTTAAACCCTAACCTTACACATGACATACTCGAATCTCATGCCGTTACACACGCATCAGTCTGCCTCCAATCTCATCGTTGTGTCCTTGCACTGCAGGTGCACTCCCGATCCACCAATGCTTCAAGCGGAACCACAGCGACCATGCCCGAAGACATTAATTAGGCCCTTGGGGGGTTCCTTAGGAGGGAGTGTACTACTAGTAATTCCATGTGGAGGCATAACACAGGGACGTTCATTTTGGAAGCTCCCGCGTCAGCGTGGCAAGAGTTGCTTCACTCCTGAGGACGCCGGTAAGCTTCCTCTAAGGTGGCCATTCGTCGCGCGTGCTCCTGCCCAGAGGCGCGGGTATACAGATGCATGACGGATAAGATGTACACATCGAAGCGACGTGAAAGCGTTTCTCAATCTGGCCTCGGAGGTCTGGACTACCTTTCGGAGCTTTGCCGTCTGGCGCTTGGACATCTCCTGTCAGTAGACCATTGCAAGGCTTAACGGCTCTAGGTTTGAGGGTGTGAGGAGGGGCAACTGGAACTCGACACATATCCTCAAAGGTGGAGACGGCCAGTTGCACCTGCCGGACCCGCCAGTATACTGCCCTATGCCCTATGCACTCCTATTCGCATGCAACGAGGAGCCTTCTGCTGCTGGCTGTGGACCTGCTGTTCCACCTCCTCAGCAAAGAAAGGAGCCAACTGTTGAAGCTTAAAGTTCCCGAAGTATCTGAAGCCACGTCCGGAGCCACATGTCTGGAGCCACATGTCATGTCTGGAGCCCTTCAAGGCCCGGCACCCGCGTGCGCTGCCGCAGCAGCTCCTCGCACGATGCGGTGCGGATCCTGCCGATGCGAGAGGCGACGGTCCAGTGACGGCTCGGGCCCCGCGCGAGGACCTTTGAGGACTTCTCTGGATCTTCTCTGGGTCCTCAGCTTCTCATCGAGGCCTTCCACGCGCCGGACCAGTCCGGCGACCTCCTCCAGCAGCCCCGTGACGCTGCCCTGCAAGCAAAAGCCGCTATACACTCGGCAGGGCACCCTCCCCTGAATCCCCACAAAAGCTGGCCAAAAGCCTGAAGGTCTGCCCAGCGCTCGCGGCTGGCTGCCGGCATGGCAAGCTGCTCCTCGCCAGTGCTGTTCGATAATTCTGATTCTGTTGCTATGAACCTTGCGCCCCGTCCCAGCAACAGACATAGCAGCACAACCCAGCCCCCTAAAAAAAGCACACATGGTACAAACGAACATGCTCCCCTTCTCTTGATAAAGCTCTCCTGGAGGCGCCGGTCGAGGTGGTCCAGCTGCCGCTGCACCAGGCGCCGGTCCTCCGCGCCCTGCCGCTGCAGCTCAGCCACCACGACGCCCAGGCGCAGCCTTCTCTTACTTCGACTTCTGTTTAAGATGCGATAATATGTCATATTATGACTCCATATAAGACTGTCACCGTCGACGGCAGGACTGCGTGGCTATTGGGGGAGAAGTGGGCACGCTCTCGAGCTTCCGCACGGGGGGGCTTAGGGCTTATAGGTCCACCTTTCAAGCCTTCTGCTTTTGGAGAGTCCTCTGCTGTAGGCAAACGGGCCCTGATTTGACGACAAAACTAAGTGGTGTTGCTGTTAAGCTAATTTGCCGTGTTTGCCATTCTTTCATGGGCTTTTGGGGCGTTTGAGGCCTTGCGAGTTCCAAATGCTGGCCTGTTTCGAGATGCGCTTCGAGGTTATGCCATAATCATATTTGAACTTATCACACCTCCCCTGCGAAAGGCCTGGCTTCTTTCACTGAGGCCGCCGCTCTGACCCAACCGGGTGGCGGGGTGTCCTACAACTCGCAAGTCGCGGGACTTCGACTTCGGAATGACCGTTTGCCGTGTCTCGCATCCTCAAGTTTAGGCAGAGGCAGAAGCCATCCTTGGTGATGCTGCCGGTCCCTCTCCACTGGCCCAGGCATGAGGAATGGCTCCTAGCCACGGGAGGGATCTCTCTGGAGAGCGGTAGAAGAGTTTGCTCAGTCTGCTCTAGCAAGTGCCCGTTAGTCCTCGGTGAGTCATGGCGCCTGACGCAGATCTGCTTTGCCTGGGTCTGAGGCAATGCGCATCAGCACATCTTACGAGGCTTGGCTGCTCCGTATGCGTGCTCAGGGGGCGGGCGCAGCAGTTGTGCTCACCGTTTGGACTGGGCTCATCGATCTGCCCCGATCATTCAGGGGGGATGCTGCTGCCACCAAGTTCTCAGCGGAGCCTGGTGACATCTGCTGAAATTTTGCACAAAAACGGCGCTTCAGAGGCCGGAGAGCTTTAACCCAGGCCTCCGTTGGAGGTCCGAGCCTTTTTTTCAGCAGCCATGGGTTCTCGCCACTTTGGGCGTCGGCCCGAAGGAAAGGGGCAGGGTTTGTAGGAGTTCTTGGGTTCTGTCGTCAATCCTCAATTGATGCTATCCACGCGTCCAAGCCTTTGACTATCTGCGTCTCAGCTAGAAGGTGTGAAGCTTGCCAGTAGGGGGGAAAGCTCTTGTACATCAGCTGCGAGACTAATGGGTCAGTGGGCCCTCAGAGCCCTGCAGGTGCAAGAACGATCAAACGGAAAGGTCCAAACAAACACTTTTAAAGGCGGGTCCAAGCCCTCCCAGAGAGGCAGGTGAGCCAAAATCATTTACTTCGAACCAGCTCCACCCCAAACTGTTGCATTATGTTTCTTGTATTCCTGGGATCTATATACATAATATAGATAGATATATATATGGAATACATGTATATATAAACTTTCGAAAATCAACGAGAGCACAGGGAAAGAGCACCCGACTTCAAACCATGATTCACGAGCAAATGTTCACGCAAGAGTGTCAATGAATATTGCTCTGCGATGCTCTGCGGACTCTTTGGGGGAGCCTCTAGGTGTGGGATGTCTTGGGATGCTCGGCAAGATTCTGAGGGATACTGTTTAACGGGATTCTCAGAGAGTGGTCGCTCCGGTACTCAGTAGAATTCTTTTGGGGGATCCTGTGAAGGTGGACCCGGGTGAGGAGTGCAGAAGACCCGGGCTAGGGGTCTCGCTGAGTTACTACCGAACACCCCGCATCGAGGAATAAACCAGCTTTTGGCAATCAACAGGTCATAACGTTCTCAGTGGTCGGAACTGCTCGGACGCTCCAATGAACGCAAACCACTTGCAGAGTATTGTAGCATCTCGTGCAAGGACCCCGCCACACGTCCGAGTGGGCACTACTCATGGGTCAAAGTGTCGTCATTGGCAGTGAATGCAGTGAGTGGGGCTACAAGCATTTTGTCACGTCACACGCCAGACGCATGTTCCGACACAACTAGCGTGAGCAGGTCACGAAGACCTAAGCATTTACAATGTAATGGCCCATGGACTAAAGAATGCTTCTGCACTTGCATCACAAAATAGCTGTTTGTTTAACATTGCGGCCATTCTGTCCTTAAGCCCTCTGCGAGGGGGTGAGAACTTTCAGCCGGATTGCCTCGATGTGCCTACGCAGTGACATCGCACGCTCCAGCTCCCTTGTCATCAATGTAGACCTGGAATCCGACCTGCAAATCGTGGTCGCGGCGGGGCCGCAATTCGTTGATCTGAGAGACAAGCAACCAGGCCGCCTGCATGCCCTGCTGTGGAATCAGCATGGGTGTGACATCTGGGCGCCGGAAGTAGAGGAGGGTATCCTGGAAAACGATACAGCCCCGATACAGCCCTTTCTGGAGAAGCCTTTGACACCGTGGCAGTGCTTCATGAATACTGAGGCACGAATCTAAATTCACCACGGACCACCCCCGCCCCCCACACTCGTGGTTTCGTTAATGGTTCTTCAGTGCACCCCTGTGCACCCCTCCAAAAAGGGCTTCCCCCCATGGCGGATCCAAGGAGCCCCTGGAGATGCCCTGAAGACCTCCTACAGGTCCTACTGTGAGACACCCAGCCACCGGATGAAGCTACCAAGCTTCTAAACGCGTGAGCCACCGAGCCACGGCCACGGCATTGAGCCACCGAACGCGAGCCGCGGATTGAGCCACTGACCATAGGAACCCTTTTCTTTGTATAAGTGTCTCAGCCCAAGCCATCCTTTCAATATTTTCTGGCCGGGCCGAGGCGGTGGGCGCGAAGTAAAGGCTGTGCACAAGAAGCCTCTCAAGGCTTCCAGCTTCTTCCAGCTTCTCGCCCGACACTCCTCGGCAATCTTCTTGCCCCGCTGGCGCGCGGCCTCCGCTTGCTCCAGCAACCGCGCCACCACCTGCGAGAAACAGATGGCGAACCTCCCTCTTCCATCACCCCAACACTGACAGATATGTTATTCAACAATTCCACAATAGTGTCTTCATGCTCGTATAAAACTCCATCATGAATTGTAAGAAGTACTGCCCTCTGGCTCTCCTGCTCTCTCTCGATCTCTCTTCTCTCTCTCATTTGGGGTTTCTGACCCTCCGAGAAAAAAAAGGCCGCGCCTTCTCCGGCAGGATGGCCGTTGGGTCGGGGCGAATGAAGCCATAGCCTTGCCTCTTTGCAGACTCTCGGAAATATTTGATATACATATATATATATATGTACGAGATATTTATAGGTACAAACAAAAAGTATGCAGGTATAAATGCAGATGAAGAGTCTTGCAAAATCTACTACTGGCCTCCAGTTCCAGAAGGCGATCTGACCTCTGTACATACCCATTCCCATCGAGATGCGGTTCTCCAGCGCATCCTCGCAAACTCTTCATGGCATTGAAGAGCGCTCGATCTTATTTCGCAAGGGCAAACCGAGGCATCCTTGCAATTGCCATCCTGAAATAACTGGCACAGGCGACCCTCTTCGCGGACATCCCTTTGTTGAAAAACCACAAGTGCTTGCATGAGATTGCATGGGTCCTGGGTCAAGGGATGACCTCCTTGCAAGGTCATGTTGTAGACCTTGTACTGGCCGCGGTCCGTCCTCAAGTGTCAAGAAGGACCGAAGCAAACGGTGAGAGCGAAACGCAGGCAGAATTTGTATTGGTAAGGTCACGGCCGGTAGATGCCAAACTCAACGGCAATACCACGCATATGGACGGGCTGCTGCCCAGCAGCATTGACCTGACCACGCGGCCCCAGAATGTCAGGTCCACAGCAGAAGCTCGAGCTGCCTCTTCGTGGTCCACACGTAGCTCGAGCGGGACGCTGGCGTCCACGTCATAGCCTGGTCTCTTTGAGATGCAGAAAGGATAGAAGAAGAAAACTTCTACAGAAGCAAAACAGACAGCAACAGCATTGCTGCCAATAGCCGTCCTTCGTCCATCATGACGTAGCCGAACCCGTGCCTTCCCACTGCAGAACCCTTCGGGGGAAGGGGGGCGGGGGGGGAGTCTGGAGAGAGCAGGTGACAGCACTTGCTACATCTGCTACCGGGGGGGGGGGGGGCCTGGCCTGGGCGAATAAAACTTCAAGGTGCCGGTATACCTTAAGTGCTGCCCACCCACGAACTGCTTTTCTGTGGCGTCCAACTCATCCTGGAGAGCGATGGTCTCGCCTCCCGCCTGTCCGCCCACAACAACTGAACTCTTCCAAGCTCTTCACAGAATCAGCTCCAGAAGACCCTTCGAGGCGCTATGCGTTCTATGCCTTTGCATCCTATTTGCATGTCAAAGATGTGCAGATGTGCAGAACCGAGGCTGGGCACGAGAGTGACGTTCTTGGCCCGAAGGGTGTTGAGCCCTTGACGGAAGTCCTTGGCCACCATGATGCTGAACTCCACCTGAGGGCACCAGCGCCATCCCCTCGGTTCGTTTATCCGCGAATTTCTCCTCCAAAGCTCGAGCCAAGAACCCTGGGCCCTAGACCCAAAAAACACAATGTACTTCAGTAAGATATTTTGAGAAGAGAGAGGCGGCCTGTAGGCCCTTGACCAGGAAGGGAAACCGGTCATCACTGGTCAGCTGCTTCCAGTGGACGAAGACTTTGTTCGTAGGGATTGTGCCCACGTGAGATGGCTCCAAGAACCTGGGAAGAGGAGCACTCACCCGATCTACCGGAATCTCCCGGATTGGGCGTGTGCAGACATGGCGCCCATATCCCCTGTACTTGTGGTAGTAGACACAAGTTCCCTCATGCCGTTCGTTGGAGTCCACCTGCACGACATGTTGCATGGGTTGCATTGCGGTAAATTGTGGCTGAGTTTCACCGTGGTTCAACTGCCTGAAAGTCCGCCGGCACGGTGGGCGGAGGCCGCCGCTGCTGCCAGGCGTTGCCGCCGAAACCGCCGCCGAAACCACCCAAAGCCGGGAAGGCCGGAAAGTTGGCCCGGTACGGGAGGTTCTGCTTCAGCCATGGCTTCTGCACCGCCCAGACTACCATGGCTCCGACCCTGCAGCTGGCAAACACAGTCAATGTTCGGCGATCCGGCTCGTCATGCCACCGCATCAAAAATCCAAGGGGTACTGTGAGACCCCACCGGTTTTGGTCGCACCTCGCTTCCTTGCAATCATTTGCTTGCTTTCGCAGCGTCTGCACCACTCGCAAGCACAGCTCTCATATTGAGACCTGGTAGACCAATAATCCCTAAGCCTGTAAACCCGTTCATTAATGCCCTTCTAAGCCCTAAACTGGCCTGAACGCAGGAGGTCTGAGAAAAAGCCCCTGAACTGCCCTTAACCCTCTTAAGCAACTGCCGTTCCCCTGGCAACGCGCCGACCCAACAAGTGCATCGGATCGCCCGCTTCGGGAATGTCCTTAGCACTCCCATACGAGAAGCGGAATGAGAAGCCCGCTTTGCGCTCTTGGGGTTTGTCAGGTTACATATTACATACCGTTAAAGTGCTTTCAGTACTTCTTGTTCAGTTGCAGTGTTTTTTGGAGGAGGTCATACATCTGAGGCGGAGTCCCCGAGCACCAGGTCACAGACCTCAGCATGCTTCAGGCCAGAAGGGATCGGGAAACTCTTTGAACAACTTCAACATCAGAGAGAGCTTTCGCTTCATGAGATTTGCAGGTCGACTGGGCATACGCGCCAAAGGAACGTTGTACATGACAGGAACTGCTTGAATTTGCTCTTCACCAACAAGAATTTACCCAGACAAGCCCACAGTATCCAGCGGCATTGGCACAGTCCTTGTCTTGCAAATCCCGAGACGTATGCCTAAAACCTAAACCCTAAACCCTACCTCTTCGAGTTTCTGAGGATCTCGGCGAACTGAAAGATCTGCGCCCGCCCCAGCTGCTCCAAGGACTCGAAGCGTCGGAGCTTCAAACCCCAACCTCAAAGAGCTAAACACATTTCAGAGAAGGCGAATAGGCACCATATTGGTGCAACCCACCGGCTCTGCTCTGTGCAGTGGGGCCTGGGGGTGGGGTGGGTGGCCGGGGAGTTTGTTCAACCCGCTGTTACAATAACACTTCCAACCCTGAACCCCCCAAAGGCACTCATAAGCCTTCGCTTTAACCCCATTTCAACAAGGACTTGCGTGGGGAGGCACGTGTGGCGACTTCTTGGAGAAGCTCCAAACGCCGCCGTTCCTCCCATGGAGGCGGTTGAAGGGTGCAGGAGCATGGGTTTGGGTCAGGGCTAGAGTTGGGTTGACTGGCGAAGACGGCCCCACTGCAGCTCAGACCTTCTAACGGCTCCATCACTTTGACAGGGTACTGGTCCCGACATCTGCATGATTTGCTGTCCCATCCCATCACTGGTACACAACTTGGCGAAATACTTGGCACAACCCCCCAACATGGCGAGGCCATCCAACCACTAAGCACTTCACAGCACAACGGCCCATTGCCAACAAAGCAATCCGCAGGTGCATATCATCCCGAGGTGGGCAATGCAAGGGTCGGTTGTGATCATGAGGTGAAAGTACAACGCATATCGGCGCATGGGCTGTCCCCCAAGTTCCGTATGCAACAACTGCTAGTTTCACAATGGCTTGCGCAGCCTCTCCCAATGCGGTGCCAGAGGGCAGGGAGCCCTGCACCACCAGCAGACCGCAAGGCCTCACCACTCAAAGTAATGAAAACTGCAGGAAAGCATGGCGCGCTCTTTCTCTTTCTTTCTTTCTTTCTAGGGCGCTCTTTCTCTCTCTCTCTCTCTCTCCCTCTTTCTTTCTCTCTTTGCCCCAAGGGGCGCGCACGTCCAAGGTTTGTTGGTGTTGCTGCCCCTCCCGTTTTGGGCGGGGTGCTTGGCTCGTTGGCCATACTGGAGGTTGAGGTTCTGACCGCAAACGAGTACATGGCGGTTTTCCCCCGACTGTCCCTCCAAGTACAAGAAAACAGATGGGTTTGGGGTTTCGACACCTTGCATAGTTACTGGGGCCCGGGCTATACGCACAGTGCTATATGTCTCCCCCACTGTGCTCCCATGTTGTTTATAGGTGCTAGTCGCTACTGGCTCCCTCATGCGTACGGCGACTGCGTGTGTCGATGTCTGGTAGCTGGCGAGCACGGCGATGTAGGTTCCTCCCCTCATTCTCATCTGCTTCGGCCCCCTCTGGTAGTCGGCGACTGCGTCGTCGTGGTGTGGTTTCTGGACGTCGGTTCCCTCTCATCCTGGTAGTGGTGTGGTGTGTGGGTGAGTGCTGCAGTCGCGGTGGTGAGGTGCGGTGTCGTGGGGAGGGTGGTGCCCATGGGATGGTGTCCGGGGTGTTTGGTGCCTGTCCTCCCGGGCCGGCCTGATTTCCTCCTGGTTGTGTGTCCAGGAGTACGATGTGTTCGCCCCATTGCATGCCAGCCACTCGTCTGGTGCGTTGAGGGCTTGGGCTGCCAGGCTTGCTTCTTCTTGTACAAGGAAGGGTATGAGTTGTGCGAGGTTGCGCCTGGCGGTGGCTATGTGGTCTGGTGCCCCCCCCCTTGGGTCGGTTGTGGTTGCTTTCGTCTGCCCCTGCTTGCAGGCCAATCACATCTGCAGGGTGTGCATGCGTGTGGTGCGTTGGTCGGGGCGTGGTCCCGGCTGCCAGGTTGTTTTGCTGTGGGGGGTTTGTGGCTCTCTCTCTCTCTCTCCCCCTCTCCCTCTCTCGTACTTCCTTGCTTTCTTACTTACTTTCTCTCCATTTCTGTCGGGGCTCTCCCTCCTTGTCTTCTTCTTCTGCTGAGGCATCATCGGGCTGCCAAGGGACCACGCCGCCCGCAGAGCGCTGACACTCCAACCCTCGTATCTCCTTGTCCCTCTCGCTCTCACTCTCTCTCCCCCTCTTCTGCCTGCCGGGCAGGAGGCCAGGGTTTAGGGTTTTCTCCTTTTCTCTTTAAAGCTGCCTGGCACAAGCGAAAGGGGAAGGATCCTTCCACGTGATTCCACATGCACGCACCGCGCTTGTTGCGTTCGAGCGTCTGGTGCCCCAATCTTCTCCCTAGAGCTACTTGGCTATGTTGCGGGCCCACCTCTCAGTCATCAGGCTTTATCTGCACCCACCCCTACAACCTGGACCTTGCCTATCCTGCCGTTCCTGAAGCCTCCATCTCCCCTTTCTGTACTTGCTGACTTTCTGCTCCAGGTATGGGATGGTGGGGCCTTCGTTTTCTCTTGGGCCACTGTGGCTTGCAAAACCTCTCTCCATCGCTTCCTCCTCCTACATTATAGCTCCTCGGGTTTCTCAGCTTGGTCGAGGTCCATGTCCGCCGTGTCCTCGAGGTCGTCCATCTGCGAGCATTTGCGTCTGCGTCTCCTGCTGGTTTGTTTTGCGCTGGCCGACATCGGTCGTTGCGCAGCTGCCCTCGCAATCATCGCCCCGCGCGACTTTGACTCGCTCCCTGCTCTCCCTGGCTGTCACTGTCAGAGTCGTCGCGGGTCTCTGTGTCTCAGTGTCTTTGTGTCTGTCTCCGTCCCTTCCCCTTCCGTCCTGTGCGCTCAACCCCCATGGGGGCCGCCCTGAAGCGTGCGTCCACCGCCCGAGCGCTCTCTCGCTCTCTCGTCTCTCTCTATCTCTCTCTCACACCAGGGTTTTCATGTAGGGCATGAGTCACGACTTCTTTTGAGGCTTGTTTTAGTCGTTTCGAGCCACCCGACCCGCCCTCTTAATCTGAATGTGGCCACGGGGCGGGGGCGCCCCCAGAGCGGCCAGCCGGTTGCACAGGTCCTTAGTAACAAAAAATCGAAAAGTAGAAGGAATCATAACAATGATGATCAAATTCATCACAACAACAAGAATAACAACAATAGGAATGCAGAGTCCCTGGCAGGGTGTCCGTTGGGGTCCTCATCACCACAGCATGCCACTTTCTCATTTTGGCTTCAAGGCGGAAGTCCTGGATGTGAACGACAAGGGCGACACAGGCCGCGGAGCCACCTGAAAAACGCGCTTGGCCGCTAGGGCCAGGTTGCAGCTCCAGCTCCACAATTCTGCGAAGTTCGAAGGGCGCACCAAAGAATGGCAGGAGGCTGTAGTACCGGTCCTGAGAAGCTCTTGGGGCAAAGGCCGAGGCAGTGCTATGTGTGCTTTGTGTTCTTTCAGGGGTTGGCAGCCGGCAGCCCGAGGCCCGGACGTCAGGCGGAATCTCTACAAAGTCAGCCATCACAGAGAATGAGTTGTAGAAGCATGCCTCGGGTTCGGTTCCCGAGTCTTGCCGAGCCAAGCGCACGCGGGCTGAGCTGCGCACCACTTTGTGGAGCTGCACCCCCTGTCCGACCTCCTTGGCACACTGAGAGTCTCTTAAGTGCCGCGGCTGGCACGAAGAGAAATGAAGAGAAGTAGAGAGAAAGTACGATGTGGGGGTTTACGACAATGAGAGACCCCTAATATAGACTCCCAGATAGTCGGATCCCCTTCTCAGAAGGACCCCAAGAAACTACCCCTAAAATCGCAAACCCGCATGTGGAGCGATGTGGTGCCAATGTGGCGGCCTCGTGAGCGGCCTCCTCGGGATCGACGGAGGCGGTCGTGACTGAGCGGATCAACGAAGACTTGCCAGCCCCGCGGTTCCCGATCACAGCCACCTGACAAGGCTCTGAAAGCTGCTCTTGAAAGGCTACTCCGGCTACTCGGGCTGCTTACAGCGTTCCAAGCCTGAAAGGCGACGGAAACGCTCTGCCCGTCGTGCATGGCGGTTACAGGTCATGAAGCTGTCAGTGCAAAGGAGCCCTCGTCGACTCATGGTAGTGGGTGCGTTGTGAAAGGTGAGTTGCAAATATGTAGTCCGTGGACATGGAGTTCTCTGCCGCGACTGATTTGTGCACAAAAGAGCGTCCATATGCAAAGCCTCTTCAACTGCCATCATGAGCTCTGCATCGGTTTACGGGCTATGTAGCATTGCATGCTCCATCCCCCCTTTTCTCCAATAAGCAATTCAAACTCTATCAAAAGTATATAAGATTAAGTATTCGGCCACTTGCTACATCGTTGCAGCGTGGCCCTTCACCGCGCTGCTGCGCGGCAGAACGCGCTACTTCTACAGGTTTGGCTGGCATGGGCTTTGCCACGGAGGTCCATGATGGGCTTTTTCAAGGCTTCATATGGCCAGAGAATATCAGTCGAAGATGTCCTCGCCGATAATCAAGGAGGACACATCCTCGAGATGATGGATGGCATTCTCCAGTGCTCGGATTGCCACAGTCGCCCGTGCTTGTGGATCGTTCACCACGCTCACGGGCTTGTTCTTGGTCATTACCGGCCTAGAATGCTGCAAGCAAAACTTACATCCTCGGAAAATTAGAAACAAAACCCAGAGCATCCCAGAGCCCTCAACAAACTGGAAGGAAACTGGAAGGTGTCGGGAAGGAAGGAGAAACTTAGAGCGGGAAAAAGATCGCACTTGCGGCTGAGCGGCAGGTTGGTGGTCAGGGACCGGTAGAGCCGGTCCCGATCCTCCTCGGAGAAGACGTCGGCGCTGTAGGAGACGTCCACCACCGTGTCGAGGATCTCGGAATCCAAAGGGGTCTCGTGCGTGTGCCTCAAGGTTTTGAAGAGGCAGTCCATGATCTTCTGGGTGTGACCTGGCCATGTCTTCTGTCATCTCTCGCTTTGTTCGTTGTCTTTCGTTTTTCTCTGTGCTTGCGTGTTCAACGTCTTTTTTTTCGCATGTTGAAGCTCTTGAAGCCTTTGGAACATTAAAAGGGGCATGACCTGTGAGCCGCTGGTGGAGGTCCTTCATCGCAGGGTTCTCGGACAGCGGCGGGAGAATCTCCGAGGACGGCTCGCCCTCTGGTGAGTCGTGGTCGAGGCAGGCAGTCCAAAGCATGACGAAGTCGGACTTGATCTGCAAGGTTTCGGAGCTTCAGGACGGGTGGCCCGCTTGGTAGTTTGTGTCAAAAGACTGAAAGGGTTCACTTAGGGCTTTTTGGGGGCTTTTTTTTGCACATAGGCGCCTCCTCCAGCACATCCAGGCTCATGTTGTACAACCTCAGTTTGAATGGTGCCTGCCAGCCCGGGGCCAGCTGCATGTTAGGGTCGGCCTCAGTTGCCAGGGATCGTGCCTCAACCAGATATCCGTCTGCCTTGAGGCCCTCAGCCATCGACTCCAGATCGCCTTCGAAGAAGCCGCGGAAGCCCTGTCGGAGCGATGCTACCGCCTGCTCCATCTTCTTTATCGCCAGCTCTGCGGGGGAAGTTGCGTGCAAGGCCGACTCAATGCAGAACTGGAGCATGATTGCTACAGTCACCTGCCCGATCTCCTTGTACCGAGCAGCATAGTAGCTGTCCTGCGACATTTCTGCAAAGGCAATGCGTTGTTTGTGTTGCCTTTTTCACGCGCATGTGTGCGTGTGCGTGTGTGCGTGTGTGCGTGTGTGCGCGTGTGCGCGTGTGCGCGTGTGCGCGTGTGCGCGTGTGCGCGTGTGCGCGTGTGCGCGTGTGCGGGTGTGCGTGTGTGCGTGTGTGCGCGTGTGTGCGCGTGTGTGCGCGTGTGTGCGCGTGTGTGCGGGTGTGTGCGCGTGTGTGCGGGTGTGTGCGCGTGTGTGCGGTTGTGTGCGGGTGTGTGCGGGTGTGTGCGGGTGTGTGTGCGGGTGTGTGTGTGCGGGTGTGTGTGCGGTGTCGTTTGGTGTGGGTGTGTCTGTGTGTGTGTGTGTGTTTGTCTGTGTGTGTGTGTGTGTGTGCGGTGTGTGTTTGCTGGGTGTGTGTGTGTTTGCGGGTGTGTGTGGTGCGGTGTGTGTGCGGGTGTGTG